AAAATAAGTCTTTTCATTAGTGTTTGCGTCTGGTCAAAAACCCGAATCGTGTTATAAGGTAAACATTGACACATTGGTGTTAGTAGCGTTTTGTTTCATGGTGTTCCTGACACCGAAATATACAGCAGCTCCAAACGGATTGGCAAATGAAAATGATTGATCGTGTCCTGTATTAGACAAATGAAATATGGAACGCGGGATTCAAAACAAAAACAATGGGATGAAAACTCATCAGAGAACGCACAAGGGGATTTGTTTTAACGAAAATAAAAAGTTGGGTAGAGATACATGGATACAAATGGCTCTTAGATAATAACAGAGGAAAACCCAGACATAATTGATTCTAGTTTGAAGACAAAATGAACGTTACAATAGAGAAAGAAAGCAATAACACAGAACTGCTTGTACGGGTACGTCAAACGAAGGAGAACGCAAATGACACTTGGTTTGAAACATGTCTTCTCTGCGAAACATCTACTTCTTGTCAGTATCTACAATGATGTAGCATTTCAGCACAGGTTGGTGCATTATGGTCTTATTATATATTTAGTGTATCATATAAATAGCAAAAACAGAAAAAAATACAGAATTTTAATCCAAACTCAAATTCAATGAAATTAGGGGGAAGTGCTTTATGTCCATTACAATACTGGATTTTCACTAGAGTACCTTTTTGTAAACTTCGGTCTCTCGAGTCCATTACAGTGCTGGATTTTCACTCGAGTACCTTTTTGTAAACTTCGGTGCCTATTGTCTTTACAGTGCTGGATTTTACCTCATTTTTTGTTTACTTGGGTATCTATTGTCAATAACATTATAAAGCCTCGGGGTGACATATTGCGATTCCTTTGTCCGGCGTCGTGCATCGTAAACTTGTAATATCTTCCACTTCCGTAAAACTCCTGAACCGATTTCAGTGATTTTTTTTTTACAAAAATCTTCCATGACTAAAGACGCGCCAAAAATGTTAATGGTCCCTGACCCCCATTCTACCGCAAGCTTCCCGTGTAGCTTTATGTAAACCAGATGGGAGTACATGAAGCTATGAACGCCCATCTAGTCAGGCGTATGAATACACATTTGGTTGTCAAGATGAGAAAGTAATCCTGGTAGATATCAAGATAATATTAGTTCTCTAAGCTTCACCTATATATCATTGCTATGCCAAATTGTCGTATATGAGACTGTATACTACAATATACAGTGATTGGTCTGTCTTTGAATCAATAAATCTATATGTTTCCGAGGTAATCAAAACTGGCTGCCGGTCAGTATCCCTTCGGTATCAATATACCGTGTACTGACATGTCCGAAGTTGTTGGTCTTAGTAAGACCTTCACAAAAATAAAGTAATTTTACACAGCTATCAAACTATAACAGCACAAATTTATTGTTGAAGATGTAATTTTGCCTGAAAATCAATATTATCGTTATAACATACTAGATTACCAGGTTTGTCAACTTTGCTACAATAGCCTAGACGTGGATCTGACAGTCCAAATTACAAATGCTGAACCCAATACAAGCAAACGGGTGCCATTTTATAATCCTTCCATCAGGATTGCCTTCATATCAACTGTACGCTATGTTTGAATATTCTCATTGCATTTCGTGGTCTTAAAATGTGACGTCACAATGCATTTGACATCTTAAAGATATGACGTCACCACATAATCTTTAGCGAAGAAGGGAAGCATTATTTCAGTGAAGGATAAGATTTTAATCAACTACATTTTTCACATATAATATAAAATGCAATTTTCTAGGAATACCCTGTGTGTAGATCGTGAAACTTGTGCAGGTAATTACTTACCATCGTATGTTTCCCATACGTACCACATAGAAAGGGAAGGATGGCGTCACATTTGATTACACTGTTACATATTAAGCAAAATAGATATGTATGCTATTTTTAGCCTTCAATTTGGCTGATGATGAAAGCTCCTACAAATGGATAACTCTAGTTCACTCAATACTGAATGCTCTCGCTCTTGACCACTTCTCGAATATATCAGGAAATTTTGTAGCCGAACACACATTTCCTCACTTTTTATCATGAGTCGTGCATCCTGGCTGATTTGCAAATTTACAATTAGTACATTGCTCAAAACATTTCTAAACAACACTTCGTCTGTATCATTACGTCTATTCCTCCTACACAGCAACCAAAAATAAATAAATCATCATTTTCACGTGATGAGAAACTTTTCACTTTTAACACCATGTAAACGATACCAGATTTCCCGAGATGATAGTCGGCTTGTAAATGTCTTTATATAGGATTCTTCAAGTGACAGACGCGATCAATGGACAGTGTTATGTAGTAATGCGTTGATGTTTTGATAAATATGTGGTTGTATTGGATGGCCATCATTGAAGACCTTGTAGACACAATACCACTTGATTGTGTCAAGAGTCAAGATAAATTACACTCGTAAAGTCTCGTAAAGTTCACCTTTAATAATCAATATAGGATCCTAATACTCTACAAAGAGAGGAAATATTCCAAAGAGCTATCATCTTCCCGTGTATCATACATGGACTCAATGAAAGGAACCGACTGACAAATGAGCGGTGTCCGTATGCCTTTCGTATTTTTAATTTCGGAACAGAACGTTTTTATAGTTTCATCACACTGAAATGTCGTAAAGTGGTCACGGTTGCGTGACACCCCACCCGGTCACATTATGTTGACAAGGAATAATCCGTCATAGGGCAATCTTATTCAACAATGAGTGACAATCGGAAAGAACCAAATATCCTTTTGATGACAATGATTGATAATCATTTCTCGTTTATCGACGTTTTGTTTTAAAATTATAACGTCCAGACACACATTGAGATGTCTATTTGTCCGCCTGTTATCTAATGCTGGAACCAGATATATATTACATCTGATCTAAAGATAACGATAGAACCGAAATCATTCAGGAACACGCATCACTGTCTAGAAATGTACTCTATAAACTTACTTTACAAATTTCTTTTATAGCCAACGGTAGTTCATGGTGTCTTGGTCTTGGAAACAATCAGATACATGGCGAAGCTTATTCGAATGTTAACCAAATTCATGTAGCGTGTTTTCATCAATAAGTCAGTTGCATGATGATATCACATAGCCATCAATCTCTGGCGATTGCACACAAGTACAACCCAACAATATGTCTGGCCATGCGATTTCTTGTGTCCTTAAAGGAACTGACCAAAGTCAATTAAATGTTTCAATTTCCAGGCCACGGCGCTTACTTTGTAGTCTAGCGAAAAGGTATAATATTTTAGTTGATAAAACTGTACTTATGTTTATGAGGGGGAAAATACCATACATAAATGTTGGTGCAGAAATCTACATCTTGTTAATCAACATTAAACTATACAATGTGGTACATTCCGTAGGCTATTTAAATATGTTTTTTACTCCCGTGTCTATTTGACATGTTTTTGACCCTTTAGATTTGTGGTTTGACTTCTGACACTGATAAATGTTAACGGTCAACTTTAAATTATTGAAACAACGCGATTTGTTTCAAATGTAAATCTTGTTAGGCAATGTTCGATTAGAATAAAAAAAATTGATAAATGATTAAATAAAAGGAATACCTTTGTTTTAAAGATAATTTTTAAACACATCAATGTGTTAAGTTTGATAAAAGAATTTGAATGATGTTACAATACTTCAGACAGAATACACCAAGGGCCTATCACGTGATCTACGTTCAGTTGATATAAAACAACGTGAACGACAAAGATCCACACAAAATATATCTGTATGTTGTTTTCCTAACATGATACATGAAAGTGTTCAGAAATACAAAGTGACATTTTATGTTGCCGGTACTGAACTTCTGAACCATATCTGTAGAGAATGTGTAGCTACCAACACCAGCAGAATCTATGGGCAGTTATAGGGACGTTTTAATTACTGAAAACATGAAATATCATCACCGACACATTATCAGTGTTTCTGTGTGAGAAGAAATGATGTAAGACCAGAGCTTGTTCATTGTGGTTGTTTATCATTATCATTGCCAACACGAACGCGGAGTAAGTTGTCCATGGCAGCTCTCAGTCCTTCCGAAGTGATACCTTTGTAAGCTGTAGTATATCTTATGAATGTTTCATACTGAACAATATAGTGTAACGTATCCTCCAATGCTAATATGCATTTATATTAAAAATGTGATTGAATAATACATGTTAAAGGATGAAAAATATACAATGGTATTTTATATCATCTTCATCGTCAATGTTGTCGTCATCCTTCCCGCCTATCCTCTACCAACCCCTCCTTCTCTACCTCCACCAACCCCTCCTTCTCCTCCACACATCCACCTACCCCTCCCCCTCCTCCCCTCCTCTCCTTTTCCTATCCTCCACATCCACCTACCCCTCCTCCTGCCCTCCTCCTCTCCTTTTCCTATCCTCCACACATCCACCTACCCCTCCTCCTCCCCTCCTCCTCTCCTTTTCCTATCCTCCACATCCACCTACCCCTCCTCCTGCCCTCCTCCTCTCCTTTTCCTATCCTCCACACATCCACCTACCCCTCCTCCTCCTCCCCTCCTCTCCTTTTCCTATCCTCCACATCCACCTACCCCTCTCCTGCCCTCCTCCTCTCCTTCTCCTATCCTCCACATATCCACCTCCTATCCTCCACATCCACCTACCCCTCCTCCTGCCCTCCTCCTCTCATTTTCCTATCCTCCACACATCCACCTACCCCTCCTTCTCCCCTCCTCTCCTTTTCCTATCCTCCACACATCCACCTATCCCTCCTCCTCCCCTCCTCTCCTTTTCCTATCCTCCACATCCACCTACCCCTCTTCCTGCCCTCCTCCTCTCCTTTTCCTTTCCTCCACACATCCACCTACCCCTCCTCCTCCTCCCCTCCTCTCCTTTTCCTATCCTCCACACATCCACCTACCCCTCCTCCTGCCCTCCTCCTCTCCTTTTCCTATCCTCCACACATCCACCTACCCCTCCTCCTGCCCTCCCCCTCCTACCTTATCTCCTCCTTTTCTCCTTCTCCTCTTCCTACCCTCCTCCCTCCTCCTCTTCCTCCTCCTCCTCTTCCTCCTCCTTATCCCCCTCTTACATGTACAAGGTAACTGCTCATTGTCAAAACCACAATCATTCTGATAGAACGATACTATTGGCGGTATGTATTAAAACGTACAAAACCCTGTAAGAGCGTGTGATGCACGTGCAGTTACCCAGACACCCAGCCTGCTGTCATACTATTGTGATAGTTCCTAATGTGGTGAACGGTGTAAACTATAGACGTGAACACTGGCCAGTTTTACGAATGCAGTTTTGCTCGTCTTATATATTAAAAATATTTTTATTTGAAGAAAAGGATGTCGTGGATGTAAGCCGTCGAGGTATTTAATTTTATCTGACAGAGGTCATCACGGATTCGTTAAAGATGACTGTGTCGATGAACGCGCGACACATAAATGTCTCATATGAACATTTTTTTTCTTGGTATATCATTATATACCATTACAATGACCAAAATTATCCCTGACATTGTAAAAAGTGCCTCTCCGGAGTGTATAGTATAATATGATTAACTACCTCCGACAGGAATCAGTTCAATATTTGAATTCTTTGAATCCAAAATGTACATTTAATATTTCTGGAACTCATCATGTGAGGTGCGTTTACTTGCCATGTGTATATACACCAGGCCAGAATTACTATTTGCCTTCTCCCTACGTGTAAATATACACAAGACACCTTGCTGTGGAATATTTGGCTCTATCTAATTATTCTGTTTCGTCAGACGTGATTTCATGGTAGTTTTTTTACGACGCCTCGTTCCAGCATTCATTAGTTTACACCTCTTATCACCAAAGTATCATAGGTTCTTCATTTTCTCGCCATCATGATCCTCCCGTTCCAATATGTCGACAGTCTCGTTCTCGTATCACGATAGCCTGACTCTCATACCACGACAGTCTGTCTCTCATATCATGACACCCTGTCTCTCATATCACGACACTATGACTCTCATATCACGACACTAAGACTCTCATATCACGACACTCTGTCTCTCATACCACGACAGTCTGTCTCTCATATCATGACACCCTGTCTCTCATATCACGACACCCTGTCTCTCATATCACGACATTATGTCTCTCATACCACGACAGTCTGACTCTCATACCACGACAGTCTGTCTCTCTTACCACGACAGCCTGACTCTCATACCACGACAGCCTGACTCTCATACCAAGACAGTCTGACTTACATACCACGACAGTCTGACTCTCATACCAAGACAGTCTGACTCACATACCACGACAGTTTGACTCTCATACCACGACAGTCTGTCTCTCATATCACAACAGTCTGACTCTCATATCACGACAGTCTGACTCTCAGACCACAACAGTCTGACTCTCATACCACGACAGTCTGACTCACATATCACGACAGTCTGACTCTCATACCACGACAGTCTGTCTCTCATATCACGACACTATGACTCTCATATCACGACACTATGACGCTCATATCACGACACTCTGTCTCTCATACCACGACAGTCTGTCTCTCATATCATGACACCCTGTCTCTCATATCACGACACCCTGTCTCTCATATCACGACATTATGTCTCTCATACCACGACAGTCTGACTCTCATACCACGACAGTCTGTCTCTCTTACCACGACAGCCTGACTCTCATACCACGACAGCCTGACTCTCATACCAAGACAGTCTGACTTACATACCACGACAGTCTGACTCTCATACCAAGACAGTCTGACTCACATACCACGACAGTCTGACTCTCATACCACGACAGTCTGTCTCTCATATCACAACAGTCTGACTCTCATATCACGACAGTCTGACTCTCAGACCACAACAGTCTGACTCTCATACCACGACAGTCTGACTCACATATCACGACAGTCTGACTCTCATACCACGACAGTCTGTCTCTCATACCACGACAGTCTGACTCTCATATCACGACAGTCTGACTCTCATACCACGACAGTCTGTCTCTCATACCACGACAGTCTGACTCTCATATCACGACAGTCTGTCTCTCATATCACGACCGTCTGACTCTCATATCACGACAGTCTGTCTCTCATATCACGACCGTCTGACTCTCATATCACGACAGTCTGTCTCTCATATCACGACCGTCTGACTCTCATATCACGACAGTCTGTCTCTCATATCACGACAGTCTGTCTCTCATATCACGACAGTCTGTCTCTCATACCACGACAGTCTGACTCTCATATCACGACAGTCTGTCTCTCATATCACGACAGTCTGACTCTCATATCACGACATATTTGTTTCCATATAACAATAAGCTCGTGTTAACAAAGCTCATTGTATATCACTGACACATCTGTCTTATACATATAAATGCTATTACAGGGTTTTTTCCTTTTTTTTCTTCATTTCTCGTTCTCCAGTACACTTTTTCCTCTTGTCATTTCAAGAGTCTGGTTTTCATATCATCTTCCGGTTCGCATATCACGACCGTCATGATCTCGTTCTCATATAATTTTGTCTCTTTCTTATGTCATGGAAGTCCTGTTTTCATATCAGCACATTCTCGTTCCCATATCATGGAAGTATTCTGTTATGAATGCAATCTCGTTGCCATATACGAAACAGATTATCCCATAATAACAAAACAATTAATGTTAGATGATAGCCTTTAGGTCACACTGAAACTTCCGTAATGTTAACCAATGATCCGTGAAATGCTTCGGGCATGTATCCCAGTGCGGTGCTTCATTAAACCATATATTATGACGTTCATTGCAGTATATCTCCATTAATCCTATATATAAAAACAAATGAACCAAAATAAAATCGATCAATGTTACACGTGTAACTGTATAGAATATAACCACTTATTGCAACCAGGAGGGTTTTATGCAAGAAATCATTGAAGCGTGTAAGAGCATTAACTGATGGTACGACACGCAAATAAATCGCACCTTTCAGGCATGAATTTCTTATAATGCCAGAATATCAATTAAACCTATCGACGCAAGTCATAATATACATTATATGTCAAATAATATTATTACAATATTGTATATGATTTGAACCTTATGATGTATAATTCAATCTTTCATACATTTCATTATCATTATTATGTCCTAAATACACTCAATTTCGATTGAAAAATCTTCTTGTAACTTGTGGTCAATCTTTTGCTTACTTTTGCAATGAAAAATGTTTAAACGACAAAAACTTCCTTTTTTCATTGGGTTAAGTACTTCTTTCTATGAAATTGTTAAATACCAAATTATTTACTTTACCAAAATTGTTTCCCAGCACAAGGGTTTTTTTCCACCTCGACCACTGTGTCATGTGTCATCGCACCCCTTGGCCAATATTAGGATTATTTGAATAAAAGCAATTATCATTTTTATTACACAGCTACACTTTAGATACACTTATATGTTAATATTATTTTAACTTTAAGTTAATGATGAAAATGACAGCGTTATCTGAGATGTCTACCTTCAACAGCGTGAAAGAAATTATATCTGGTCTCTGATGATTGATTTTTATATTGTAAGCTGTAGAAAATGCATTACTCTTAATATATTTTTGTATCAAAAAGTAGCAATATTCACGTACATCTAACCTTATAGAGTATCACACGGAAATCACATTATATTTTTTATCTTGTTTTTGTTGATTTAAATACTGATCGTTTTCCTTGTGCAACATCACGGTTCTTCGCTTTGAGAGACAAGACTGGATGGAATTTAGATAATGGTAGTTTTAAGATGTACATTAAAAATGATGCGTTGCCAAGGTTACCAAAACCTTTCAAGTGATTTCCCCTAGAGATGACAGAATTTCAAAATATGTCAATGATACCACAAAAATAAAGAAATTTATGTCCAATTGCTTTGGGTTGAAATGCGATCAAAGTGAATTATTTATTTAATATCAGAAGAAACTTCAGATGTTCCGTCCAAAACTCATCGTTATGAACCTGATAAGATTTGAATTTATATAGAAAAATAGAAATATATCATTGTTCTTCAAACAGACTATTCGTGTAGTCATGGGAATTCATTACCTCTCTTACCGATAAGACTTTCGCTATATTAATGGTGTCTTGTCCTTAAATGCCAATTGGATATGTTCAATTCAACATTAGCTCTAACACAACGAACAGCAACACTTACTTAAGTATATGTTGAGCGAGCTGAAATTTGACCCTTTTTGTGAATTTTCCATTTCTTGTTTGCAACAATTCTTAATTCCCCACTGTTTGTGTCACAGTTGATTCCGAAAGTCAATCGCCTAATCCCATTATCACTACACGGAAAAGGTGAGTAAGTGACGACAACTTCAACAGCTCAGTGTTGAAGGAGTAATTTTTGTGTAAGAGTTTAATGAAGGTTGATATTTACTCTCCTGGTCTTCAATGGTAATAGTCTATTACTATTGTGTGATATATGATGTCTGGTGTATTCAATACGTATTAATAAATCCAGTGTTTCGTTCAGTTTGAAAAACTTGGATCTCATTTTGCATGCCGAAATTGCATTTGCTTAAAATTATATTGCCGTGTCGGTAAGGAAAGTGCGTACCCTTCCGGAACGGCTCATTTTTCCTGTACATTCTTTACTATCAGTGTTTAAAATTCAGTAGGATTTGAACAGTAAATCCCCCCCCCCCTTTTTTTGTTCTTTATCATCTTTATCATTTAAAAAAGTCTCTGTCACAAACTTTCATTTCTTTATTATTTCCCCTAGTTTCAATTTCATCAAATTTGATTAAATTCTATTGTTATGTCGTTATTACATTTCTGTGTTTCTGTGTTTGGGTCATTCACAAGATTTTGGAAAACCAGATATATTGTTCAAATTAAGTAGTGAAATCGTTGAGTAAGAAGTATAGAGATTTGTGCGAACGACACGTGGTACTGCTGATCTGACAATACTAATTGTTTTTAGGGTTAACCATCAGTCTTAGTAATTGCAATCCACGAAATTTTTCGATTGCGTCGAACATCTTCTGTTACTCAAGACTAAGCTATCTTAAGTCTTTCAGATCTTTTCTAATGAAAGCTTAATTCAATGACGGGTTTTACAGAAATTGCCCTCGTCTATAATTGAGACAAGCATTGCATTTGAAATTGAAATTTACAGCAAATTTAACGCGGGGATTACCTCTCTGGTTTGTTCGTGTCCTTCCCGAATGAATGTTAATGTAGTTTTGAATTAAACTTCCTATGCGTTAACTTGTTAAAGATTTATTTTCGGGTTTATTTTTATCGAATGTGTTTCATAGATTTAAATAAAAGCACTGGGATTTGCTATACAACAGATTATGGTATGTATTATATTCTGAACGGAGCAACCGCGTTCTTGCTGATGAAACCTTGCCACGTTCGCAAATAAACGTCGGATTGATTCAAACATGGACTGGAAATCTAACGATAATAGGAACATTGTGTTCCTACGCTACAGAATAAATCAGAGCTGGAAGAATTTGCCGTGGAAGTAATTCTGGTCTTGTAGGTTAGGGATGTGACGATCCCTCTTAAGCTGATCTCTGATAACGAAACAAGCCAGTATAAAGAAGGAAATGTGTAGCTATTTACAAACAGGATTTTTTTTTCTTTGTGAGTAATTTGTTGGCGGAGTGATCCCTTGCATTCTTAAAGGTTTCGAGAGTTTGAGGACACGTGAGACAGAATGGAGTCGTAATTTTCAGATAATTTTTTGAACACATACATAAATTAATCCCAGACATTGAATATCATATCGTATGACCGTTTATTGGGCGAGTTGTCTGTGGTCCTTTTCCTATAGACAAACTCTACTGCTTTAAACTCCACATAAAATTATTTCTTCTTTGTCTGTGGCGTGATGCTTGTAGGTTAAGTTATACATCGAATATACCGTACACTTCAAGGTGAAACTATTGCCGACGGCAGAACTGACACTAAAATAAGATTTGAGAGCACCAGATCTGTTAAAGCTGATATGTTTATTATTGAATCTCCGTACACTCAGTAGTAAACTAGAAATCACCCACACAGTGGAAAAAACACGTGTTCAATATACATTATTAAAAGTAATATTTTCCCTGCTTTTAAGCGTTTATATGTTTCAGATTCAAAGGGTGAAATACATTAATAGAATGGCGATATACAGCACTATTAATATGCACGGAATATTTATCGATTTAAAATTTATTATATCTCGGAAACTATAAACCAAGTGCGAAGATGCGTCAAATTCAGGGACGATAACCACGTAAAAGTTTGCATAATTAGTCTACAAGTACATAATACTGAAGTCATTATTTACGACACTTCTGGAATATATCATATTCTATTTAATGTAACCACATAAGATCTATATTTCATTATTTGAATACGTCAAACCAGAAGTAAGACGTAAAACAGGAAACATTGCCCAGGCGTACATATACTTATTAGCACTCACAAGAATATATTTCAGGAGTTCGACTACTTCCTCAATTGTCATTATGGCGTGTTGAAATCACATCATTTCTCTAAACGCTAGGATTTAAAAGCAAAGTTATTGGTATGGGTTGGTTAGTCTTTACCAGAATAATATCCTGCTAATCAGTACAGCAACATAGCGATAACTTAACAATGCTGTACAATTTCCAAATAAGACAGTCGTCTCTGGAAACGGTTCTAGAATTACCAGTCTCTAGAGCATCAGCCATAGTTTAAAGAAAGGAACTATCACGCAATAGTTTATGCAGATATTTCATGGTTATGCAACTTGATTTTATCTCGAAATCTAGAAAGTGTGAGATCATAAAACCAGAGCACGCAAGCGTTTGTGTAAAGGGCCTTGAAGCAAACAGTTCTATACTATTTAGCACCAGCATCTAGAGTTCCAGTGACCTCAATGTTATTATTGATTTGAAAGTGTTCTTGCGGACAAATCGTTTTCCTTTTAATAAACTAGCAAAATCACCTTGCATTTCTGATAGGCAGAGAATGTTTGGTATAGAAAAATGCAACTGCATTATATATGTAACTGCTGGTGGGAACAGTTTTTTCTTCTAATTTTTTGTAAATATTTTTACCTATCACCGCTGCCAAATCCTCAACACTATATAATACGCTTTAATTCCTTACTCCGCGATATTGTATTTGATTCTAAAACTGTGTTGAAATGTGCTATACACTTGTGTGACTTTTGTACAATACATTGACATATAAACAAACATATGTGTGTGTGTGCGTGCGTGCGTGCGTGCGTGTGTGTGTGTGTGTGTGTGTGTGTGTGTGTGTGTGTGTGTGTGTGTGTGTGTGTGTGTGTGTGTGCGTGCGTGTGTGTGTGTGTGTGTGTGTGTGTGTGCGTGCGCGCGCGTGTGCGTGTGCGTGTGGATAATCTCATCTCTTACCCCAATCCTTATTTTACATCAATACTAGTTTTCAAGATGTGTATTTTCCAAGACATTTTTCTCGAGAACATGTGTAGATGACTTCAGTATCTGTTTAATGTGTAAACAACACCTTACCACTTAGTTTAATATGTTTGAACAATGCCTACTGACAAAGACCATATTTAAACAGCATGATAACGTTGCCTTCTCAACACGGTCATAACTGCTTCTCCTTTAGTGAAGACACATGCCAAGTGAATTCAGGTCAGTCTTAGTGATATAGTGGTACGTAATTGTAAAGCAATAGAAAGTAAAAACCAAAACAATAAGAAATAGCTTTATAACATATGTGGCTTGAACTTATTGTAGTTCTACACGAAACAAATATATCATTTAACGTTTGTAAGTTTGTGTGCGAATGTATTTGTGTGTGGTGGTTTGTTTGCGTGTGTGAGGGTGTGTGCGAATGTGTTTGTGTGTGGTGGTTTGTTTGCGTGTGTGAGGGTGTGTGCGAATGTGTTTGTGTGTGGTGGTTTGTTTGCGTGTGTGAGGGTGTGTGCGAATGTGTTTGTGTGTGGTGGTTAGTTTGCGTGTGTGAGGGTGTGTGCGAATGTATTTGTGTGTGGTGGTTAGTTTGCATGTGTGAGGGTGTGTGCGTATGTGTTTGTGTGTGGTGGTTTGTTTGTGTGTTAGTTTGCGTGTGAGGGTGTGGTGCGTGTATGAGGGTGTGTGCGAATGTATTTGTGTGTGGTGGTTAGTTTGTGTGTGTGTGCGATGTGTTTGTGTGTGGTGTGTGCGTGTGTGAGGGTGTGTGTTTGTGTGTGTGGTTGGTTTGTGAGGGTGTGTGCGAATGTGTTTGTGTGTGGTGGTTAGGTGCGTGTGTGAGGGTGTGTGCGAATGTGTTTGTGTGTGGTGGTTTGTTTGTGTGTTTGAGGGTGTGTGAAATTGTGTGAGGGTGTGAGAGAGAGGATGTGTGTGTGTGTGTGTGTGTGTGTGTGTGTGTGTGTGTGTGTGTGTGTGATGTGTTTGTGTGTGTGGTTAGTTTGCGTGTGTGTGTGTGCGAATGTGTGTGTGTGTGTGTGTGTGTGTGTGTGTGAGAGAGAGAGAGAGAGAGAGAGAGAGAGAGAGAGAGATAGAGAGAGAGAGAGAGAGAGAGAGTGTGTGTGTGTGTGTGTGTGTGTGTGTGTGTGTGTGTGTGTGTGTGTGTGTGTGTGTGTGTGTGTGTGTATGTGTTGTGTGTGTGTGAGAGAGGGTGTGTGTGTGTGTGTGTGATGTGTGTGTGGAGGGAGTGTGGTGTGTGTGTGTGTGTGTGTGTGGTGAGGTGTGTGGAGCAGAGGTCATATACAGACGATTTCTCTTGGAAAAAACTGGGTTCATTTATAGTGCTTTGTTAACTTTTTTCGTGGGTTTAAGCAGAGCAGATGGCCACTAACAATAAAGATAATGAAGAAATCATGGTTATGAAACAATAGTTAGGCAGTGTACTTCACAGCACACTTTGATGCTTACCAGGAATCAGTGATGCTGACGTACATCAAACGTTACGGCAGAGGGTTGGTCGTACGTATATTCAGCGTTATATACATTCCAATCTTAACACTGGTACCGGGACAGTTTACGGCGGTTAGCTAGCTGTTACATAGTTGATTGAATCGGTACAGTAACTTGAAGTCAATCATGAGAGTAAATTTATGCCTGTGTTAATCACGATACCATACGGATACTAAGTCTATTCCGTGATGCTGTACCTATCAGATACAATGTTACAATATTTGTCTCACTTAAGCTAGTTGTCATGTTAAATAACAAACCGATTTCAGTTATCAGATATTATCAACCAAGTTTTAACTTCAATACAAAGATGAACATGTAACGTCAGAGCAGATAGGAGAAATATCAAAGTGATATTGTAGGATACATCGCTTATATTCGACTCAGCATTAGCTTCAGCAGTCAGCCCTTAGAGAGAACCGGTGCCTGACATGTTTACAGCCACATCATTTGTTCCTCTGTGAGAATACACGACATCGGAAACGAAAGAGATTCAGGCGGGGCTACTAATTGAAGTACCGTTACATATACCATTCTGTTACATCTAGGCTGTGCCATGCCAGGGTTTCTTTGTAACCTGTTTCCCTGTGTACTTAGACAATTGCATCACCGAAGCGTGGAACACGATCGGAATGAAGCTTTGTTGACGTGTTAGAATGGCTTCGTGTAAAGCGTTAGATTGTACAGAAAATTGACAAGGATCCAGCCTCTTATCTCCAGTGCTATTTTTAAAGTACAACTAGACTGGTGATTCAATGTGTGCAAACGTGTGTAATCTATATATTTTACAATTCGTGATAAATCGTTGCAAATAGTATTGCTTCAAGGATTAGTCGAGGAAATATGTATCAGCTATGTGGTCAAATGTGAGTTGGTGGAACCTGATAACGTTATATGTTTACAATGTGCCTGACGCTGTATACGATTGAGATTCACACACATGTGGAGGTAAACGAAACCAGTGATCGGTACGCTTTATACTTCTGGAATATCTCTCCAAAGGTTAGTTGTGGGTTATGCAATACAAAACTTCCTGTAAGTACAGCATTTCTCACAGTAATAGAGCCAACTTATCAGTGGGTTTTCTTACAACTTGTAACATTCTTAACAAAATATACACGTACTATGTACATTAAATATTCAAACATTATTTTAATGACTGCACGTGATGAAATATCTACGATGTTAACCTTGCACTCGATACCAAACACTTCTAAACATCTTGTCAGCCTAGATATGTCTATAACGTTTGCATGAACATGTGTTATTATCTTCGTAAATCTACTGCAGCCGTGCACTGTGGTGGTTTATTAGAAATGAATGGACGTGTGCCAATTAATACTTATTAGTACTAGTGTAATTGATCTAAGTCACGTGTTTATGTTTATCGCTGGATTATCATGAACACATTATCCAGAGTAAACATTTTATAACATAATCCAAGAATTAATGTTTACAAACATTTGAACGTTTGAACTAGAAGTAAATGTACATATGCAAAATACTCTAAAGTTGATTTTTCAGTTGTTCAAAATATTCTTGTATTCTGTTTTGAAATGCGGGCCAAATGTTTGAAATGAAGCGTTGAGACATATATTTTCTCTCGTTTTTTGTTTAAAATTGAAAGTGATATTTTCCTTCCTCAAAAATATCAGCATTTATGATACAAATTCTTGAAATAGCTTTGACTTAGAGGCATAAACGGTGAAATGGCAGTTCTATAAGATCATAATTGTGAATAGTATTGAATTATACATGATACGTGCTTTTCGTTGGCTCGATGTGTTTTCATTTCAATATTGAAGAGACATATCCCAGTATAGCAATGCTTTATACGTCTACATGACAGGGAAGTGTAGGTAAGGTGAGGGACGGAATTACATATCGATATACTAACAACATGTCCAGTCCGCAGCAACGCTAATCAACAAAACCGAATACGACCTTTGGAATCCAAAAACGGAATACTTGTTTTCCTTCCAATTTCATGCTGCGAACAGAAGGGCAGCTTTATAGCAGGTCTTGAAAATAGTCCCGATAGAAATTCTAAAGTGTGCTCTCCCGAATCCAATTTTGTCTTAGCTTGCTTACAGGGCATAGTCTTCAATTGTGCTCCAATCACGCTTACCGCCTGCAATCAGTGAAAAGAGATTTTCTTTTCTGCAGAATTACATTCTTCCTGTGTTCGCATGGTAGACTACAATTGGTTTATATATAAATACATTTTTACAAGGGAGTTCCTACTCGAAGATTAAATAGGGCTAAGGCATGGAAATAAATTTGTGTGTGGATCAATACCCACTAGCACGCGTGTGTTGCATACTTGTAGTCGCTTCCAAATCCTGCATTCAGGGAATAACTTTTATAATGTATTGGATATTTGTAGTCGTTTTCAAATCCTGCATTCAGGGAATAACTTTGATCACGTGTTGAATATTTGTAGTCGTTTCCAAATCCTGCATTCAGGGAGTAACCTCGTCATATGTTGAGTACTAACAGTCGTTTTCAAATGCCGCATTCAGGGAAGGATTTTGATCATGTGTTGGGTATGCATAATTGTAAGAAACACCTTCCTTGTAAATTGATATCGATTTTGTTTGATTTATTTGGCGAGCCAGTGACGATAAAGCTACACAGAGAGAAGACAGGCATGATAAACACCAAAACACTGACAGCTTCTTTGAATTATTCAATGGAATACTTTCAAACTGCATTTAATCTAAAGGCAAAAAAATGGGAATTGTATTGTCTCCTGAATAAGGAATATCCTTATCGTCTTCATGGTTCTCATGTCTATTGGCCTAGCCAACAGAGTTTTGTTTTTGCTGTGTGAACAAACCATTTTACATAAAAAAAGTCATGATAAAAGACTTTGAGAAATTAAAATAAAACAAATTAATAAACAAACAAACAAAGATAACAGATAACATCACTAACACAAAATACTCAGACAAGAAGTAGATACGTATCAATAAGACAGAATTTTATTAACATTATATTTTAAGTTGCCTTAATGCTCTACCGATCATATATTGTAAAACAATCATTCTATGTCATTTGCCACAACGAAAAGAATGGACACAGCTGAACAATGCATGTTGTCATCGATAAACAAGTATTCTAGACTTTATGCTACTATGTCCGTCACTCCAGAGACATGCAATTAAATATTGTTATAGACAGAGGTTATTTACCTGGCTTTGTATGTTGTCATTGAAGAAATAGGACTTGTGGAAAATGCTGTCTGCATCACAACCTTGTATTTACGATAGTCTACAAAAGAATACAGAACTTGAGCATGGACACAGCCACGCAACATTTAGGAAATGTCTATTTAATATACATACCCTTAACACTTAATTAAGATGAATAGGAGTTGTCTAGATACCGACAATAATGCTCTATTTTCATTAAAACGACAGTATCATGTTACATTGTGTATATTGCTCCAATGTTTGTTGTATGTATCTAACCATCAGTGTTAAGTGCAATAAGACAAAGAAGTCATGAGAAAAACAAATGTGTATACATATGTATATCTTCTATTACACTACAACGCTGTTACAGATCCATTGAAATGTCATCAGTGCCTTGTAAATGTACAGTGGAATCTGTCTAAACCGGGCACCTTTGGGACCGAATAATCTGGCCGTTTTATAGAGAGTTTCCGATTATAGAGAGCCCATTGTTATAATATTGTTGGAATTTGGACTACATTATTAGACCGGATTAGGCAAATATCTGGATTACAAAGAGTCCAGTTTAGACAGAGTTCACTGTACATTCTTTTAACAGATGTTCGATTTATGAAATGATTTTACCATGCAGAGAAAATGCGAGGATTTACTTTCTTTGTTTTTGACATAACAATGTCGTGGCAATCCTAATGATAATATGGTTCCTGTAAAATTAATATGTTATCTAAATATGTGCTTAAGACTCTTCACAATATCAGACAGAGTGGGCTTTTCGAAGAGTTCCATTTTGCTCTCAACTCGTCTAACAAAAACTCATGGTAGATCATATAAAAAAAACGTCAGTCTGCTACCTTAGCATAATATCTTTCGTGAATCTAATTTTCGCAAAGGAATTGGATTTTACACTTTAGATTAAAGAAACAAATATTCCAGAATAGTTCTTAAAGAAAATCAAAATGTATTGAAAAAAACTAGTTTAATTGGTTTTCTACTAAACAAAATGGTCTTTCCGATATTACTGGTATCTTAGTATCACCTAGTAGCCTGGTTTGTTGGGAACTTGTTATCTGAGTAAAAAGAAATGGTTTACCAAATCTAAAACATGAATATCTCTTATACCTCATGTATTGCCTTTATGAGATGACCTTTCAAATCCCCAGCGCACATTTTCGGAAAAGTATATTCATTCTTAATATGGGAGATTTACATGTGTGATCTCATGACTCCGGAAAGTTGAACATTTCATTAACCTTCCCCGATGTTCTAGTTTATTTTAGAAACAATCCTACTCAGTTTGAATGCAGTTTAGAATTGTACGAAAACTTTAAGGACATTTTACTCTTTCAGATACATGACGAGTGATGAGTGTTAGCTGTCCACTGCTTATCCTCGTCACACTATATGCAGGTAAGTCTTTATAAGTAATACAATTTCATGAGTGAATCATCAGAAATCGTAAATAATAGAATGAGATATTAACAATAAAGTCGGTGATATTAATCAGAATACCAGCAACACCGACATCTGTTTACATGAAGGAAAGCCCAACAACAATTGGTGGTTCTTATGATACTCTTTCCTTGTGTATGCTAAATATGAAAAAACAATCTCGTAACAGTAGCAATAGAGATCGGCTGATATACTTTCGATGACGTCATGACGTAAGATTTAACGTCGATGAGGATAACGCTATATAGCGGGGTTTTGTAGGTTCTTTTCCGTTGAACAAACCACATTTTACTCCCATGAGTTACATTAATCGATACATTCTACTTGCTCTCCGCAGTCGTAGAGAATTACGTTTGCTTTTATGAAAATGCTAAAGTTAATCATTATCGCAATATCAACTAAATTCAACAAAAACTACGAACTGCACAATTTTGTTCGAAACGGTCCCTCACAAGTTCTTAGCCAATCAAAGCACTGTGCCCCCTTCCAGACAAGATGTCGATAGATTTGAGTCAAGATGCAGTTGAGGAATTGAAAAGACTTTAAATGTTTATCTGCTTGGATTATCTATCTAAATTGTTGTTTATATTTATTCCATGTGTACTTACCCAAAATTCGTCAGGCCTATCTTTAAATGGTAAAGGTATGTATTCACTTAGGTAGATCGATAAAGGCAAGAGACATCGTGGAGATGCATCGGCAAGGGATTGTGAGGGGAGACTCATTCGGTACATTTTCTTTTAAATTGAGATAGTGATGCATGTATAATTTTCTATAAAATGATCAAGTAAAGGTAGGAGACAGTACTATGTTCAATGATTTTATTTAGTTGTTATATTATCAACTGAACTTGATCCCTGGATCGGGAATATCGCCTGTTGTAACGGTTATCGTCTTTACTGACATTCTGACATTACCGACATTAACTTAATTTCACCGGTGAAAAGTGAAGTGGAATGATACCATTATCGTACTCCCAATTTTACATTTCGATGACACATTTTATCATGTTTTAAAATTTCTCTAAGATCGATGTCTATCATCTGCCTCAACCGGAAAGATGGCAGCCATCTTTAGGCTCCCGTCAGAATTCAGAAAATACAATCGGGGTTAAGACCATGAAATTGATAAAAAAAATATCTCTCAAATTTCATATGTAGGCTTCTCTTGGTCCCTAGTTGTGCCTTTTTGATTTTGGGTCTGATAGGAAAAACAAAATGGCCAACAAGCGGCCATCTTAAATTTCGTCTAATAAAGTTTGTTATCGGTATTTCTTGAGAACTTCTGCATAGATTTTCTCAAATTCCATTTGTAAGTTTCCCTTGATCCCTAGTTGTGCCTGTTAGATTTTGAGATTGATCAGAAAAATAAAATGGCCGATAGTTGGCCATCTTGAATTTTGCCTAGTAAAGTTTGTTGTCACTATTTCTTAAGAAATACTGCACTGAGGTCTCTCTAATATCACACGTTGATTCTCCTTGGTCCCAAGTGCCCGTGAAATTTTGGGGTTTGTTAAGTAAAAACAAAACGGCTTCCGGCTGACCATCTTATAGGGTATATTAGACCCACCCTTTCTGACTGTCTGATATTCCGACCGTCCGATCGTCTGTCTGTCTATCTGTCCGGAATATTGTGTCAAGTGTATCTAAAAAGTGCTTAAGCAATATTTCTCAAGCTTTGCATACTTCATCCATATGATATCAAGTTGTGCATTTTCACTTTTCATTCAAACTAGAGCAAATGCCACAGCTAATTTTATGATCCGACATATTAGCTGTTCCAAACTATGAAAACACTTAAGTCAAAATTGAGATATTATCTTATTGAGTTTAAAATTGGTATAAACAAGTGTGAGGGATTTTTCGGGGAAAATGGTTCCATTTGGTTGCCATGTTGACTAAATGAAGACCTCTTGGAGGAAGCTTGTTGCAAACTATTGTTGATTGGAGAGCGGAGGGGGTATTAGTCGGCCATCCTGACGACTGTTCTAGTTATTGCTATTTCTGTAAAGGATTAATATTCAAATTTCTTACCATTAACAGCAAAAACAGAACGAAAAAGAAAAATAGGGAAAAGATCCAATGTTCAAAGAACAAATAAAGATCAAACAATGGTGGGCGCCAAGATCCCTCTTGGATCTCTTGTATATATTTATCATCTGCTTACCCAATAATCAAATGAAATTTAATGGAATATAGCATGATGGCGTATTGTGCATTGGAATATAAGTTTGATTGCTATTTCTCCCTTTACTCCAAATGTACGAGAAACAAAAATGTATGGAGCAAACTAACAACCGCTACAGACAACAAACGTGAAGACAATTACTGAACCAATGCTCCAACAATTATTCTGACCCATTTTAGCACACACAAAAATGTGCATGTAATGAACTAACAGTAAAACATATGGTCGTACAACTTAGCTTGAAGTAAAACATGTTTCTTGTTAGCTACATCAGTAAACTGATATTCCTTTTTCTCTAAAAATAAAACATGGCGAGAATATCATCTTGATTATATCTGTAAGAAAGCTTGTTTGTTGGAAATAACAGATAATGACAGCGGTATTTGATTGTGATATTTTTGGATGTGGTACATTTACATTCCGCAGAAGTTCAGTGAACACTGAAAATATGACAATATACTTGTACATTTTGCTTATATATTCGTGTAATGGAAAGGCGGCATCTACACGATTGACTTCCATATTTCCGTTGAATTTGTGTGTACCACGGAACCATCAATAACACTAACAATCATAAAGACCTTTTGACTTCACATCGGAGAAGGAAATAGAATATTTCCAAATGACATCATTAAGACGACTGGAAATCTTCATAATCCTTGTCAATCTGCACACAAACTTTATTTATTTTACAACAAGTGCGAAACAGACTCTCAGCTTATATCAATCACTCTTGTTGGCTCGGATGGAAGCGCGCGAGTGGTCTTAGTGTGGGAGGAAACCGGAGTACCCGGGGAAAACCCACGTGGTCGGGAAGGTGACCCCATACCTTTTCATATCCATTTAGGGAATCGAACCCCGGACGGCTAGGTGAAAGGCGAGTGCGTAACCACTGAGCCACTCCAATAACCAAATCTGCATCTCTAGTACTTTGTACCTTGTATAGTGAGTTATCTATCAGTCGTCAACATATTTCACTACACTTGCGATATTCGGAGCAAACCCGTGAATATCGAATCTACTGCAACATAATAACACATGTAAGACATGCTGGAATATAGAACTGACAAATTCACAATAGGAGAATTGGTAATCATCACGCTTTTAATATAGCTTGGTGGGAAAAGCTCTGTCGAAGAAAAGATTGAGGTAAGCAGCCGATGTCCTGTTGTTAATTTCAAATTCTGGTTGATTTATACAATGGACACGCTCAATAAATTTCTCATCATGTAAAGACAAGAAATCATCAATACACCTGAAGGAGAAATTGAAGACCTCAGTAAGGTCTGTTTGACTGGTTTTTGTACTTTGATAAATTTATCTTAGGAAAACAAAATTATGTCATGAGAGAGCTACAGTTTGTTCCCATAGGTATGCCAACAGTCTGTTGGAATAGGTTACAGAATTACTTAAAAATGATTAAACTGACACGGATTTATTGCTTTTCTGTACACTCTCTGAAGAGGAACATTGACGAGCAAAACCGAAAACTTCGAGACGAGTTTCATAAAATCCCAAATGAAATGAAAACCAATTCAAAATATCTTTTTTTATTACAGAACTCATAAACTGTACATTTTGGTAGGTTATCAGTAAAAATGTGATGGACAAAATCAAACGGAGCCAGATATCTGTTGCACAAATTCAATTTGATCGCGTTACGTTATTGTCCATAATAAAACATTACTTTCAATTTCTGACAGGCGCTGCCACTGAAAAAAATTCAAGGGACTATTGCATATACAAAAATATTTCATGGGCGAAATCACTAGATAACAGGTCAGTTTTGTGATACACAATATAGATAACGACATTCTCACAAACCAAGTTAAAAAGTTCAATATTAGGTGGAATAATATGAACTCTAAATTTCACTTAATCATACATCTATATAGAGATGTATTTTCTGAGATTAAAATAAAATGTGTAATTTTATGATATTTCAATGAAATGCACAACTTATCTGCATATCAAACATACTTCATTGTTACTTAAAACGTCGACAACAAGAACACACAACCATTAGGTCAGTTACTAAAAAAAGTAGCATTTATTTTCCAATTTTTCAAAATGTCAGTTGTTCGACAGTTCTTATAATATCACATTTACGTTTTGAGAAATTAACCTTTTAGGACCCCCACAACTAAATCAATCACAATAAGTAACTACTTTACTTTAATAGCAAAGATATTTGAAATTCAACACCAATAGCAACTTTCAAGATTCATGGAAGCATATCCTACCAAAGGCTACCAATTGTATAATTAAGTAGGTTGAAGTTTACAGGTGAAACTAACCACACATTGAGAGGAAAAACCCGACATTTCACACATGTCTGAATCCGCCCCACATATATCAAAACGTGTTAAAACTATACATTTTACAACGTCAAATGAATGCAGCCACTAAGTGAGTCCAGTCTCTCATTGCCTTATTTGGCTGCATGAGTCCTTTCAGAAAAGTAGGTGTCATTTCAATGGTGTACGTCTATTTGCTGTTTGGGCAATGTTCGTATTTGTCATATTTCCCCTTTTTTCCTTGAAATTGAGTTAGAATTGCACTTTTGACACACCTGTATTTCTAAATACTGTGTAAACCTTCATATGTACAGTTGAAACTCGTTGTCTCGAAATCGGTTGAGTCGAAATTCCGTTTGAGTCGAATTAATTTTCAGTCCCTCCAATTATAAAACAAGAGAAAATCATTCGTTGTCAAAACAACGTCACGGCTTCTGACAAAATTGGTCAAGACATAAACAGAGCAGAAAGTCACCTGTGAGTAACACATGGCTAATGACGGCGCATCGGTCCATCGTACACGCAGCACTTGGTCTCTGGCGAGATTAATTACCAGTTTAATTATCCAACTAAAGGTTGGCTTCCTAATTAGTGTCACCATCCTGTGGCAATGACTTACCTGACCGTTAAAATAGTAGCGCGTTTTCACAAACCATAAAAACATTTAGCTTGGTTGCGTGCATCTTCAGAAACGATAAAATAGAAACCGTTGAAGCATTACGAACTTTGTGATGAAATTTAATCCCCACAATTCCGAGAGAAAGTTATTTTGAGCTTGCTTACTAAAGGAATGTGACCGGGCTCTCTGTCAGATTTAGTGTTTGGACAATGAAGTGCTGAAAGTATTTTCATAGATAGAGTCTATATCTGAACGTGATTTGTTAAGTACTTGTACGGTGCTTTCTGTAACAGGTAATAATTTTCATAATTTCCAGTGCTGTTCTTCCAATCCATGTATTTATCAACAGTGTTATTACAACCTTGACGCTGAACAAGCAGAGATTGAAAAACTTGTCCGGAATGTCTTGATAGTTTACTCTTTTACATATAAATTATTTATCAGTTTCAGACGCTGTTGTCTTCGGTGGATGGGGAGAGTGGGGTGAGTGGTCAGATTGCTCCGTTACATGTGGATACGGGACTATTGAAAGGAGTAAGGTCTGGTTGAAAGAGGACGGAACTGTCTTCAACTTTACGTACATTTCCTATGATGAGTGCTGGACTAAGAAACCGTGCCCAAGTAAGTTTAATAAAAGTATTTTCTTTTACCATTGATTAAACTACTGGAGTCTTTTGTGTTCTTCTTCACTCTAAGATAGTTCTCTGAACAACTGTAGTGAATTCCTATGGCGGTTAACGTACTGATTGAAGTGCGAAATTAAATGTCTTTGTGACCCGTTAGTGTCTTTTAACCTTGTCCTCATTTTGAAAACGTGACATTAATTGGATTGTCATTGATTGAAATGACAGTTTTCTTCCATGAAGTTGACATATCTACACTTCTTGATCACAGTGTCTTAATTTTCTCTAATTTTGCATCTTATATGCACATCTTCATGTATTTGATTTAGCTTTGATTTCTGTTGGACACACAATAATATTTTTTTTTGTCTATCTTGATTGACCCACCAGAATATGTGGCCGAACCCAAATGCTTTATGAAATAAGTTTGATTCGAAAAGGTCACACATATATCTTCTTTTCTAATGCAACTGTCTGATAAGTTAATGAAAACACATATGCAGAGGGTCCTGGAACATAGTTTTAACACACGTTTGTGATTTACAACATACTGGATGATTTTTTGACGTTTCCGTGTCAAGGAACAATAAAAGGAACAAATCCAGATCTACACTGATCAGATGCCAGAACAAAACAGTACAGTATGTATGAAACGTTCAATATGTACAGCTGCAAGTCTTCCATTTCATACAATTTTCGTACATGTATCACAAAATACATGAAGGTCTCTTGCCCCACAAAAATTTAACTTTTACATTACAGATGCGTACACCTACACCATATAGCAAAGGCTATACATCATGTATTACATGTATCATCTACAATATTGTATATATATATATAATCTTAATCTGTTGCACTTAATTTAATTTTTCGTTGAAATAGTTTCATACTTTATCTATATAACACATGCGTTGATGTCATACATTAAAGTAGACGGCGTCTGGAGTGGATGGACAGCTTGGAGTCCTTGTACCGTCATGTGTGGTAACGGAACCCGAACGAGAACGAGGCTATGCAATTCCCCGGAGCCTATGAACTTCGGAAAACCCTGCGACGGAGAACCACTGGAAGTGCTAGGCTGCAATGAGCAGGAATGCCCAGGTGTGTTAAAACGGAATTCATTGTATTTTCATTTTTTTTCCAAAACCAGATTTAGTATCATCATGCTCGTGACCTTTTAACAAAACAACATTCAAAGTGTTTTAAACACTACATACAAAATCGCTGTCGAATGATATAGTCGTGTCGCCATCTTTACTGCATGTTTAAGAATCTATTTACTTCAGTTTGAAACACGTGTTTATCTGTATTTGTCTAAAGAAGATTTTTTGATAAATTACATATTAATAATTCCGGAGCATTGAATTATCTCCCATAAAAATATTTAGGATGCCGACACCAGAACTGTTCGGTAGTCCATTCAATGACCGAGATAGTGCTTTTTAAAACCTTAGACATTGCAAGTGGTCGACATGCTGGTGAATTCTTTAGTCCCAAGATCTGACGTAACCTGCATGCCAAGTTTTAATCTATTCATATAGTGGCAGAATAAACTGATGTAATTAGTGTTGTTATTCATTAATCAGATGTATGAAAATTACAAAATTTATAGAATTATAGGGCTCGTGCACCTCTCATTCTAGATTAGGATTTTTTTTCTTTCGATCACTTTGAATTGTACTCAGTCACCTCATTGTCTTCGTAATTTAGGCCCTTTCTTTCTTACAAGGACAGAACAGCTGTATGATGAAGTTTAATTCAATGTTTAACTCTGCAGTATCGAACTCTTACTTTGTATTAAAAGATGCTGTTTACTTTGTATTTTGTACAATCTTCGGCGCTTATATTACAGTGCATTTCATTTAAAGTCAATGATACTTTTGTTTAATCGAGACCTTAAACAGAAGGATACATATTTGTATAATATGTAGTGTTTTTGTATGATCACATATCTGACGTTAGCTACTTTTCGTTGCACGGTAATGAAGAAGAGCAGAACTTTTTAATTCCTTACGATTCTATACAGGCTGTTGGTGATGCTATGGGCCTAAAGTGATGGGGGGAGGGGCTAACTGAATAACTGGTCGACCGAATATCCAAACCCAGAGTGTGAGGTGCACTCTAAATCAATATCACATACTTACTCTATTCCCTTGTGCGATATCGAGCTGGATGTGTTCGATGTTTACTGGTTTGTCTGTTAGTGTTGTTGTTGTATAACCTCGTCCTCAATTAAGAATATGACATTACTCACTTGGATTGACCAAGGTTTACATGACGGGTAATTTCGATGAAGCAGAAGATGCTTACTCTTCTGGAACATCTGGTCTTATTCTCCTTGCACTTTCTCCGTGTACATCTCTTGTATTTTTGCGTTAGTTTTATAAACTTTGAGTTTGGATTGCGATTACGTTGACTTGTTGGTATTCTTTTGCTGTTTTTCAAAAAAAAAAAAAAAAACAGACTCATGTTCATCTTCTTAATCCTGTAACCATCACTATTCGAATTGATTTGATAGCATGGCATACAGGTTACGGCAAAACAAAAAAACGCCGGGGACTAAAACAATCGTCAGCAGTGTAAAAACAAACTCCAATGCCAATCAAACATCAGTGTCAATATAACCACTTGTGTCACAAAAACAAAGATAATTAACAAATATTTGGAAGTAAAGACTGATAAGAAAACTGATTTAATAAATTATCCGATCAGTAAGGGTAAGAAAATATTTATCTATACACCTTAGAGTCAATGAGAACGAATAAAATTTATCACTTTGTTTACATGATTTGACTGTCCTGGCTTACTTTACATTTATCACCGATATTTGCACGCGATGGACCGGACGGTTTGAAAATTCATTTTCCTGACAATAATGGTCCGAAAATGGTCTTCGTTTATTCGGACAGTTCTTTAAACAACAAAAAAATCGACAATTCGCCAATAGCACAAACCTTTAGGTTTCGGATTGAATAAAACAAAAGACTGAAGTATACAGCTGTGGGATCGCACAACGTTACACGAAGTGGGATGTGCGTACGATGACTGCACAATGTGCGCACGATGTATGCACGATGTAGCAATGATAGGAAAACTCGACGAAATAAATTATCGCATGTTGTGCGACTCTATCGTACAGACGTAGGGTTTTAAATTAATTAATCATAATTATAGAAATGACATATAGATAGATGTGGGATAGAATTTATCTATTTTCTAAACCTATAATAGTACAGCTAGGTATATGTATTTCCTAATTAAGCTATATATTTATCGGTTGTATACCTGTAGATTGATAAATATACATACTAAATAACTATATTCACTCGTAAGTTAAAATGTTTTGATTACCAAGTAACACACGTGACCAAGCCTTAGTGTACAAACAATGCAGGGTCTGGTGTTACATAGAAAACTGTCGAATTAAAAATTTATTTTTATAGTCACCGATCAATTTAATACGTCTTTGATTGTTATTTAGTCATAACTAGACGTTTTCAATTCGTAATATTAACCAATAATTTTAACAAACCGCACAAAAATGTGCACAGATGTATACACGGAGTGTTTGAAGCGTTGTGCTTTACCACTACTGTGGAAGTATCAACTGTGCTGTTGTTGTTACAAGTAATACAAGATTCAGTTATTGTTTTATATGTTTATGCGATGCCCTGATGACGGAAAGAAATGACTGCCATCTCGGCGATTTTACATGTCCGTGGTCATAATTTCACTCCTTTATTGTGCAATTTCCATTGCGAAAATTGAGAGATCAACTTTCTATCGACCCACACCGATCCTATGCTCGTACGCTCCAAGGTCTCGTTTCAAACGGTATGGATGACTTAGGTTAGCGCTGAAAAATGATGCTCACCTCCATTTTATCTATATCCGTGAAATGTGTTCTGCGTTAATATTTTAAGTCAAATTTGAAATTGAAATATTTTACCAAACCCTTACGTTTTCTGATTTATACATACTTTTACAATTGCTGACATTTCTGAAAAGTAAGATGGCAAATCTTAAGACAGTCTTGTTTCAGTTGTAATAATCGCTTCGAGGGTTTGCTAAACAAGTATTACAGTGTCTGCCAAAGGCGATAACGATAAATAGTGCGACCAGAATAGTGTCGGCGTAAGCGCCCCAAGCTACTACCAATCACGTTTCGGAAACTCAGCACGAAATATCAGACGACATCATCAAAGAATTAATTAGACATCTATCTTATTCTCCATCGCTAAAGGCTCGCGGTCTAATGTGATTTCCATAACAATTATATACATCCCGTAAAATCGTCGGCTATTGCCAAATACCTAAAGGCAACCTGTTAGTCTTCATCTTCAGGTTAGTTTTAATGGGTGTTTTTTTAACTGTCTTATTTGTCTATTTCTATTTCATTCATAAATATTTAGAAAGAAACCAGTACCTCAATATCTCGAGGCACTGTTAGTAGTCTTGCCTTGTATCCTAATAACGGCGCGTTATCTATTTGGCGTCCTTTTGAGATTATCAAATATATGAAAAATGGTTTTTCAGACTCTTTACGGGTTAGTTCTTCTCCCCATCTATATTTTGAAATTGCGTTTTATTTTTTTTCCTCGGTCACCTGCAAGATTTCAAAATTTAGGCCTAGAAGGACGAAACAGCTGAATGACGTATATCAATTCATTTTTTATTCTACTGTGTCTACATGCAGTTCTCATTTTGTATTGAAATGTGATATTCACTTGTGTGTCTTTGTACCATCAAGCATGTCAAAGTTTGTTAATTGTTTTGTACAATGTCGTTACAGATTTGCCATTGAACTTTAACATGGACGTATGCAACGACACGACTTTTGTCTGTCTCAACAACCTTCAGTGTGTTGCGAAGTTCCTACATTGTGACGGAGAACTACACTGTCACGACGGGAGTGACGAAAAGGACTGCTACCGATACCTCAGTATGAACAGTAACGGTTAGCTGCTCTCTAGTCAGGATAACTCCAATTAAAATCTAGCATTTCATTACTTGTTATTGTCACCATAACGACATATTAAAAAGGGGGTAATATAAAAATACGCTACAGCTTTGTTACAAACTAGGATAGAGTCGATGGTCCTGTAAAATGAAATTTTCCTGACTAATTATTTAAGGTATTACATACTTATGTAATAGTCAAATCTTTATTAATATTGTGTATACACAATCATTACTGCATATATTACTTTCAGGCGATGTTTTTTCATAAAGGTTATTTTATTGGGAGCTACTCTTACACATGACTGCATTCGAAATATTTATCAAAGTTCTGGTTCATGCTGTGTCAGTAAGATACGGTATACATTATAAAGAGTGTGTCCCTGTATTGTGGGCGGATGGATGGTTGTGAACTGAGGGGTATATATCATACGAGGGGATATTAAAACTATTTGACCCTCACACAAAAACAGCGAGACATTGGATTAGACTTTTTAATTTTTCAATATAGACCCCTCCCAAATCCACCCACTTGCGCGATCAGGTTTGGCAGTCATTAGTATCCAATCGGTAGACATCAATACCCTGGTCCCCTAACCAGCCCTCCACAGCAGATCTCCTCATCATCCTCAATTCTCTGTGTCCAGAGGGTGATCCAAGAGCAAATATTAGCTAAGACACGGTTGCATTTTATCTGATGTATAAAAAATTACGGAATTTATCTGATTATGGACCTGTTGTACCTCCCCGTATAGACTTTTGAACACTGTCCTTGGCTTCAAAATTTAGTCCCTTAGCATCTCTGACGAGTCCTAGAAGTACGAAACGGCTGTATGATGCAGTTTCATTCATTGTTTGGCTCTACTGTATTTCACTCTAAACTATGAAAAAGTGCTATTCACTTGTGTGTCTTTTGTACAATCATTTGGTGTGGTACATTTGATCAGTCTTCAGGGAAAATGTGAAACTTTGTAGGGGCTTTCTGTATCAGGAAACTGCGTATAACGGGGTTGAGGAGAGGGGGGAACACACGTTGTCGAACAGTGGACTGACTCCATACCTTTATTTGCCATGCCAGATGTACCTTTACATATTGTCAATATGTTGTATGAATTATTTTGTATGGATATACTAATTTTTTGTCTTGTATCATTTTCAGATTGCGTTTACATATCAAGTCAGTCACTGGCGTTAACAGTATTGGGACTCATTTTCACAAGAACTCTACGATATTCCTGACAGCGGTTGTAATGGTGTATGAAAGAAAAATGCTGTCCAATAACCAAATGTGATATTTACAGCGAAAGTACGTGACGGATACTACTTTAGATGAGTGACGTCACTACTTTTTGACTGTTCCTGTGGATATAAGAATCCTAAGTGATATGTTGTGATAGATATTGTGTGCATGAAACTCGAATTTCACTGAATCCAAGTGAACATCATCTGCGAGAGTGAATGTTTCCGTTGTTTTCAAATCAGACAAGGTAATTTTAATGTTATTCAACTACAGTTGAATGGAATATTGTAAACTAAACCTTCGTTTACCTTAGCAAAGAGAATCTTCATTGAAGCAATGTGGTCAACAGTGAAAATATCAACAAAACATTTCACATGTATACATTGAGACCGCATTATCAACGAAAATAGATATTTTGTGCAGAGGAGGTCTTCGTATCGAAAGACAACTTTTTTGACACATCAATATAGTATTTGCAGTGAATTTGCAATCAGTATAGGATAGTATGGCGTAAATTTCATTGATGCAATCCATATCTCATTTTAGCAGTATATGTATATTTGTATGTCTGACATCTGCTGACGAGGAAAAAAAGAGACACACAAATAAAGACTTGACCAGTAATATCGAGTTCCTTTGAACAAACCATAGACTTTCTTATTTCGAGTGAATTTTAAAACTAAGTTTTTATTTGATGGTATCGATATTATATTATTTGAAACCCAGTTTTACGAAACATATTTCTTTATAGTTACGGTTTAAACTTTTACAAAAAATATGGCGAAAGCTTGAATTCATATCGTATATATTTATTCAAGTGCAAATGAAATACAAAATATGCACGAATCATGATTGTAGAAATTAATTCTTCTTCTGATCTTTTTTTGTGGTGATGATATTGACATAATTAGCATGATGACAAAGACACATCTTTCCAACAAAATAGCTTGTACAACCGATAATTGTAACATTTGAAATGTTTGTTCATTTTTAATTTATGATAACGCACTTATATACGGTTATGTCGTGTTATACGACAGTGTTGTTATGAAATCAACATATCAAGCATAGGAATATTAATCTCATATATATTCATGTTATACTTGTGTTATACAATAGGAATATATACACATTTTTGAGAATAGTAAAGATTAACTGACATCAAATCACTGATTTGATCGCACAAAGGTTGTGCTATTCAATTATTTAACTTTTCACGGTTTTATTTAACGTTTGACCAAAAAAGGATGTACTGTACTTTTCATGGATGTCATGAAACGGACTATCGGCTTAAGGTTTTCATAAATACATATTTCCACACATGGAAAAATGTTATTAAGTAATATCAGGTTCTTTGGATATAGGTTGTATGATTTATTTATTTCATTTATTTTGTCTCTGAAGTGTGGATTCCAACCTCATTTCTGGAATCTGTTCTATCCTTGAAGCATATCCTGTAATCAAAACATTATTTCCCCCTTTGGATTATACAAATACAATCAATGAATATCACCAATTATCGATACGCTATGACTTTCGCTGTCCTTCTTTCACCCCTTTCAATGCTTCTGAAAGAAGAAACGGAACTAAAGACGAATAATGCTTACATTTATATTTACTCTCGTTCCCAATCTTAACACGTTTTCACAATCAATCTGAAGTGATATCCTCGAACATATTCTTCAGTATTGTAACGTTTATTGAATAGATGCCTTTGCATCACAACCAGTTACAAAGCTTAGCCGAACCGACTTGTATGGAATAGCACCTTATGTATACGTTTTCACTATAATCTTATTATCGTCTTCTCTTTACACTAAATTTCACCTTAGTGGACGTAAGATCAGACTGAATCCTTATCTCGTATATTGTTTACCTAAGTATACTTAGCGTCAGTCACATTTGTGATAAAAAGGACGGTATAGTCATCACAACGTCATACATAATCTTCTTGTGCGATACATTGTAGGAACATATATTCAATAATCCAATCCATAAAGTGAAAATGTGTTTTCTTTAAAAATGGAATACAGTTTGGTGTTCTCTTATAGGTAAAATCGACAGGTGTTCTGTTGCAGTGTTAGTTTCTGATTGTTGTGGTTAGATTTTTCGTTAAAATAGAAAATGATAATTACATCTACGATTATATACATTTGAATATATTGTACAAGTAAAATATTTTGTTACGCTACCGCCCATGTAAGCAGTAAAAATAAATGTCGATTTCAACAATCGATATTAAATATTACATATTCGATACAATTACGACAATGTTACAATGTTAGATATTTCATCGTGATATTTAGAAAAAGAAAATTAAAAGAAAGGAACACAATATGCTTATTATATAAGTTAAATCATGCTCTTTCATAATATATTACATGCGCTATAATCTACTATCTCGATATATGTTACAATTAAATTAATCAAACACCTTGGATACTAATGAACACATTTTGATACCAACTACGATATCAATCACATGTATAACTGTTGTTGTGTTTCATCACGTGAAAAAAACCCTGTTAAGTTACATCCTTAATCTAGATATGAATTATTATTTATCAATATCATACCAAATAAATAAAATAATTTCTTTCACTCATTTAATTTATAATTTATTTTACAAACTGAGTATTTTGGCTTATGATTATTCAGTATGAGGATTGGCCGAAACGAATGATAGGAAACGGTTTGGCAGGATTAAAACAAGAATTTAATCATGCATTTTCTGGAAAAGCGTGTATATTTAGCAGAACCTTACAATCACTTATACAAAAATGTTCAACCACAGGTTGAAACATAATCTTTCCGAGACATAAGTTATATGGTGTGTCAATTTCGTAGCATTTGTCTATTTTTATGCTACTTGAGAAGTTACAATTTTAACTGACAGTCAGTTGTCAATTTCTATAGGAAAGATGGAAATATTGAATAGCTGAATTCTAAAATTAGCCTTACATGCTTGTGGATGTGCCATTGTATGATTTATGTGTAGGATCCAACGGTCCGTTTAATACAACATATTACCATTATAACGACAGCAATATCGAAAGTAAAATGTCACATACACAAAATGTACTTAAGTTGTATCATGGATATGTTATTGTACATGTACACTACATTCCTTCATGATGATACTATATATGCAATTTATGAGAAAAATGTATCAAAATCAAGATAAATTAATAAAAAATACCATACATTTCTGTCTAGTTACTTATACATTAGCATTGTAGTTAATATATGAATGTAATAGGATTGAAATGTTTCACCTGATAAAATCAGAAATGTGAAAATAGATACACTGAGAGTACTAATTAATAAGCAAGGTGTCTACTAAACACAGTTTGTTACTGGTTCATATTTGGAAAAGTCCTGTTTTGGTTCTGGAATCATTTATGGCTGATTGTAAACTATTCATGATGATGTTGCACATCAGTATGGTGAGTTTTGTTCCTGATTTCTGCAGTACTTAAAATAAAACCAGCAGGATCACAACTACTGTTAAGAGTCTATACGGGCCCCAGAGATCCAGTGTCGAAGCTGACCCACATACAGTGCTGTTTGCTGTACGGGTAATCCAGTTGTCAACGATCCTTTCCATGGCTTGTAACGGCACATCACCGTGTCGCAGAAGTTCAGCGTGGAATTCTCTAATGTCAAACTTCCAATCTGAAATAAGATGCACATATTCACTTCACTTACTGATAAAGTGTGTTTTTCGCTGTTTGATATTGTAATTTGGCTAGAGTGCAAAGTTTGCTTTTATGGGAGGGTTTTGAAGTGCAATATTTTCAAGGTTGGAATAAAATTAAGAACAGATATTTGAAAACGAAATCGAGATATCTTGTTTTAAGATTTTCATTACATATCCATTCACGGTGAAACCACGAAAATTTATTAATCATAAAAATCAATCTTTGCAGTATGTTAACGTAACTAACAGTCGAAAAGCATTTCTCCGGCCAGAATAAATCTTGTAAACTTCCTGAGAAAAGGTTAGAAAAAATAGTAATGATTAAGAAAAAAACTTATTGACTTTATTATCCAAGTTAAATTTCAGTTTAAAATGTATCAAATCGCAATGTAAGTGACAGTTACCAAGTCTCTGCTCAGCTCTGCGTCGTAGTTCCCATATCTTCAGTTCTCCTATCTTGGCACCACAAGCTTGTCCTGGCCACGTGACTACTCTGTCCAGTGTGTTCTCCAAAAGGTCTACCCCAAATGTAGAGTAGGTCATCAGGTACTCTAATGCTCGGTCTCTGCTCCAACTACAAACGGTCATTGCCACAAGTGAGGAGTAAATATGGATATTTGGAGAGCACAAAAATGGTTTATGTACCTTGTTTTTTAATCAAAATTATATAAAACAATGTCAAGTTTGTCTTATAAATGGATGCTAGTTTTCATGAAATGAAACATTTTCATTTTTAACCACTGTAAGTAATTCTGAAGAAAAATGCTTTCTGTTTTTTGTTCCAATTTAAAATATGAAATTACCCAGCCAGCCCTGTTGAACCCTCCTCTTAGTGTGAAACATTTCATTTCTACTTTCAGAGTGAATAGATTTCAATAGCATACATTTCTAAATATAGATATAAGTATTAAAAATGCTCATTCATTAAAAACGAATAGAAATTTAAGTTTCTGTGATAAATTTACGACTTAGTTAAGCTACTTCGATAACAGGGTCAATTAAAGAATAAGAAATACCACAGCTGGTGATATCATGCACAAAAGCAGTTTAAAGAAAAAGGTATGAGGCATATGTTTGAAGAGTTGCAAACGCTTTATGACATATATTTTAATTATGATAAAAGAACTTTATTTTTTTACATTTCACCTCAGTGCTTACCTGAAGAAGTGAATGCCCGTATCAACAACCAGTAGGCATGTACGGAAAAGATCAGAGCTATAGCGACCCAGTCTAAACAGAACAGAAAATATACCAATATATATGGACAACCGTAGTGGTTAGGTATTAACATTGACCGTCTGACTATTGTAAGGTGACACGAGAATAGTACATAAAGGAAGATAACCACAGTTAAATTTCAAGGAACTCAAAAGGTTACGATTTGTTCCCCCTATATAATTATTCATATGTGCTTACAATTCTACATATCTTATATCGATCACTTAATTCCTATTGAAAGGTGATGCATAGGTTTCTTTTTATATAATCTTCAACAAATTATATTATTCATGTTAAATCATGAACACCTGAATTATTAGACTTACAGCTTGTAGTCATCGGAGAAAAGGCCCATCTTCTCGCCTAGTGCTTCCGCATAAAGAGCCCAGCTCTTTGTAAACACAAATACTAGTTTTTACAGTTTGTCTTTATCAGTTATTCAGCTTGTACTTTTTTATTACTAAATTAGTAATGAAAAGAGTCATTTACCAGTGTGTCCTTTGTTCAATAATTCGCTTACTCATCACTTTAATCAAAATGTACTTTTTATTTAAAAGTATAAAAAAAAATAAATAAGTGTATAATGTTTGTTATATGTCAAGATGAATATCAATGTCATCTCAATGAAATCACATCGCTATTGGAAATCTGAACAAATTTGAAATTATAACATCAAAATTAAGTTTTAAAAATAAAAAAAAAAAAAAAAAACGACGGATATTCAATTTTTGTGAGGTAATAACCAAACATCAATGATAAAACAGGTATATTGTTTCAGTAAACTCCTTGAATTTCTTTACCATACGTTTAAATTACCTCAGCGAACATGTTGTAATCCGGAAAATCGTATGGGACCTGGTAGTACTTTTGGCTCCCTTTACTGTGTTTACGAAATAAAGGTAAATGTGCTAGCTCTTTGATTGATCTCTGTAAGATAATAGTAATCATATCTGTCAAGAACAAGTTTTGTGATTTGATCAGAGATAGAGAGATTCTATGTTGTTTATGTGACTACTTATCACATAACCAGTATGTGTAGTTAGTATTCGTTAAAATTATATTTGCTTTGTTGATAGCTAATCTAAATAAGATATATTTTAAAATTCTGTGACGTCACGATACAGGTGTGACAACATAGAGTTATGGGTTAAAAGGAAAACAATAGAAATGTATATCAATGGCAACAAAAAACATACTGACACGTTAACAGAACCTTTATTCAAACCCAAACAGGGCAAAAAACATACTGACACGTTAACAGAACCTTTATTCAAACCCAAACAGGGCAAAAAACATACTGACACGTTAACAGAACCTTTATTCAAACCCAAACAGAGCAAAAAACATACTGACACGTTAACAGAACCTTTATTCAAACCCAAACAGGGCAAAAAAACATACTGACACGTTAACAGAACCTTTATTCAAACCCAAACAGGGCAAAAATATACTGACACGTTAACAGAACCTTTATTCTAAACCCAAACAGGGCAAAAAATATACTGACACGTTAACAGAACCTTTATTCTAAATCCAAACAGGGCAAAAAATATACTGACACGTTAACAGAACCTTTATTCAAACCCAAACAGGGAAAAAAACATACTGACACGTTAATAGAACCTTTATTCAAACCCAAACAGGACAAAATATGAAAAAAAGACTCCTGGAGAGTACTAGTGTAATAAGATAAGACTTTCCGATAAAGATGCTTTATAGACTACCATATAGATAATGATCAACAATCAAAGTGTTTCCCAAATGTAATACTAAAGATTATCAAACACGTCAAACCTCATATCACAAAAAAAAATATATCACTCATATATTATAACGACCAATAAATTTTCCCGCAACCTTCATTAACTTTCATCTTTCGAACCCCGTATTGTGCCAGTATGTTGTTGATATAACGCCCAATGATTATAAAACTAAATGTATTTCATTGTAATTGGTATTGTCATGTTAAATGATAAATAATCTCATTCCATATAACATTATTATGCTCTCATCTGCAATATATTTCATTGGCTTTTACATGTCATTTCACATACATTTTTTATACAATAGTTTATATGTATCACTAGTCTTCGAAGACTTTTAACATATATTCTGCAAATATGTATTTTTTAGCAATGTTTTCATTGTGTCTTACTTGCAAGTGGTAACCTGGCAAGGTCTCGTGTAGAGCAATCGGCAAGAAATCTGGAATTGACCTAAAACAAAGAAATTTTGAACATAAATCAGCAAGAAAGTCAACGTCATTTAAATATCACTGACCACACCCACACAACTTCTTCATGGCAATGGAAATATATCAGCTTTCTGTTTGTTTAATGAAAATTCATAATGATAATACCATTAATTAGCTTGATGAAAGAAATATATCTGTAATAAGACAAACAAGAATATCAAAAATGATGTGGAAAAACTTTGCTCGTCAGTTAAGGAATATTTTGTATATAGTATTCCTTATATTATGTTGTATTATATTATACATACACATCAGAAGGTCGAAAAAGATTTACGTAAAGCACAGCAGGCTGTAACCCGTCCTTGGATCCAGCTTGATAGTCAGCAGGTAAGCCATCTCTTAGGCTTGAAGCTACCCTGTATAATACAGAAATGACAAATATTAGCTGAAAAATATATATTTAAAACTTTGTGTTTATTGCGAAATCAAGCCTTTTCATGACACTTTCATGATAACTGTTTTTGTAGCCTTCATATATCTGATACAATGATAACATATTACAATATTGTTGAAACGTCATAAATGCCACTCCGCTCCGTTTATTTACATCAAGTGTAACCATAATAAACTCTAAACATTTACGACATGAGGTTACATTTTTATTGTTTCTATATGACCTTTTTGAGATTTTGAGTAACGTATCAATCATGAACAGGCAAAACCAAATGAAATCGAGCCCATAGAACATACCAGAGTAACATATGATAGGACCTTACATGCGATTCAATGTGATATGGAATCTATGAAAGAATCTTATGTTGTCCAAATTTAGCGATTGAAAATATAAGCAATTGAATCTGCGTTCCAGAATGTCTTTATCAAATGGGGAAAAAATGCAATTAAGATTGTTTTAATCACATAATAATTCAGGCATATTTTACTTATATCTATATTGCCGGTCTCAATTGTTACATCATAATGAAATTTATTTTTACAGTTTTAAAAAATAGTACATGGATATACTCACTGTATAATTATGTCATGAAATAGTTACTTCATACCTTATTGGAAACTTTTAGATGTCTTTAAACAGTCTGGGAAGGATGGGTTCAATTATGTCATCAAATAGTTACTTCATACCTTATTGGAAACTTTGGGATGTCTTTAAACAGTCTGGGAAGGATGGGTTCAATTTTGTCTTCGACGATATCTTTATACATATTCAAAATTGTACGCTGCAAACAAAAAATTAGAATTGAACATTTCAATTTTCCTTTCAATATTATGTTTCATACCCCGATAAAATAGCATTACGTCTGCGGAAAGATATTAAGAACATGTTAAATTCAACATCGCAACATCATGTCAACAGTATCTTGTTATTGAAAATTTAATGAACCGAAGAACCCCTTAACTGTAAATACAATTCCATTTGCATTGTGCAAATTGTGAAGTGACATTATGTTCAAGAAATTTTTGTTTTTTATTTCAGATTTTCAATCACTAGTGTTTAAGAATTGTAGACCGAAATGACTTAATCCAACTAATCTGAAAGTAAATCAACATTCTCTTGTTTAAGCCTCTCTCTGGCTAAGGTTTCCATGAAATCTTAAAAATTACACTCGACTTCATAGATTGGGTTCCTCAGTTAAGAGTTTTTTTGGAACTTCCTGACAAACTCAATTATTTTATCATACAATTTCGATAATCTTTAAATCGCCAGTACCTGTCTACCAATCTGTATGAGTAGCATAGGGATAAAACAGGAAAGTAGTTCGTACGTCATCTGTATTCAAATGTTGAAGCATTTGTTTGAAAATGAAAAGTTTGAAATCGATGGAGCTAGATTAACTAAAATAAATGACCTCGGAACACATACATAGTAAGTGTGAAGTGATGAGATTTCTAGTGTAAGATATCAGTAGGATTCATGCCTTTGTTTGTGACTTGCCAAGTCGTTGCAGCACTGTGCTTATCAATACAGACTAGCTTAAAAACTCAGCCTCAATACTATCCAAGATTGTTGCCTTCAAAGGTCTCATGTAACAATTTTAGCTGAATCCACTAATTATAATAACATATTTGTTGAAGACCGTCATTCATAGATAGCATGTATTTATTCCCAATAGAAAAAAAATAAAATAAGTAAAGGAAAATCAAATTAAATCCTTTGTAATTAATTTGTTTAAAGATTCAGGGGAAACCATGGTCGTATTGGTTCCTTAAAATGACCTAAACCGATACTTACCTTACTACTAACAGTATATCTTGGATCTCCCTTGATGGAGGTGGTGAATTCTCTTATCGTTCCCTTGAATCCAATACGACGTAAAACCTTACCGTAAAAATATGAATAAATGATGAAAGGACATGTAATGAAAAAACATAGATGCCTTGAATGGAAGATTAATTTAGACTCCTCGGCTTCAAATTTTAGGCATCTAGCAACAATGCCGAGTCCTGGAAGGATGAAAAAGCTGTATGATGCAGTTTAAATCACTGTTTGGCTCTACTCTAACTAACTTGTGTGTCCTTTGTACAATCTACGAAATTCCAGGTGTCAGCTAGTGCTAATTTTCCTCGAGTATGACGTAACCTGCATGCCACGTTTTAATTTATGCGAATGGTGGCAAGGCTCAGAATATACACATGTACTTGACTATGCTCTAAAATCATCAGATATATAGAAATTACGAATATATTGAATTATGGCGCTAGTGCACCTCCGCATCTAGGTTTGATTTTCTGTCGATTATTTTGGATTTTTTCTCAGTCACCTTCTTTAAACTTTAGGCACCTAGCATCACGAAGATGAGTCGTAGAAGGACAAAACAGCTGTATGGTGCAGTTTAAATCACTGTTTGGCTCTGATGTATTCAACTCTGAATTTGTATTTAGATTTACTTGTGCATCTTTGTACAATCCATTTTCAGTCTCATGAAAAAGAATTCTTCCTTTTTACTTAAGCTATTTGGTTAAAGTCGACAAACGTTTCAGTCTTACAGTTCAGAAATATATACCTTCATCATTTTCTCTTGGATTCTGCTAACTTCCCTGAGTCCTATGTCCCGAACTTCTCGTGGTGTTAGATCGGTAGTAAGATGCCACTTTAACGTTGCTCTGTAGAATTCTCGCCCGTTTTCCCATGAACCTACGCCAAGGCCAGTTCGTACGTGTTTCATATATGTCTATAGGGAAACAAACCAATTATGATTTCTGTAATGCAACGTTATTATTTTGTATCGAGTTTGAATTATTCGTTTTCTTTATTACATTATCATTAAAGAGTTTCTATTTCAGATCAATACAAATCATTGTAGTCTTGTACAAAGCAAAAGAACTTTCCCAATATTTTGTATCAGAAACAAGTGCTCAACAGAATGTTTTCAGCGTAGGCGGTGGACAACTGAACTATGTCACAATAAAGTGTTCGAAAAATGTGAACGAAAACAAAATGTGTTTATGAAAAACTTTACCCCCGGTTGCAACAAGATTCTGAAGTTGGATGTTAAAACCGTACTGTGTAAGGCATGTGCTAATTGCAGACCTGCAGACACTGTTTATACCGATATCATTATTTTTTAATGTGTATCAACGGTCATGGTCAAGGTCACATGGTCAAATATTTTTGTCACAGGGAACACGCATTCCAACTATTAGACCCTACCTCTAACGGTGCAATAGTAATGGGCAAAGTTAAAGTTGACAACAGAAAGATATCACAAAGACAATTTGCCCCGGATCTTTCGATCAGAGGGCATGAAAATATTACTTGTTCAATATACAGAATCAGTTTCTTGTAAGCATCCATGGTTTTCTTGATCCACGTTTTAGCTCCGTTGCGATAGTTATTTCTAGGGAAAAAAATTATAAGACATGAAAATAAACTTTTTACTGTGGCAGAATTGTTTTTCGCAATGTCGTTTAGCAAATAGGCATTAAAGTTTGGAGACGAGTTTAATCAAAGCTCTTATAAACTTTAAACATTTTAAGATACTTCTCACAAATCTCTGAAAAGTTACATTTTGACATTACTCAAAGTGAAATATGGAAACAAAATCAAACGACGGAAGCCATATTGTTGCACCTCTTTCGATTCATGACGTAACCATATAATATGTCATAATCGATTTTCTTCACTCCCGTTTAAATTACACAAATGACATGTACTCGAAAATTTCGCATGGTCGAACACACTGAGTCGTAGATGGATTTTATAGTAAACTGTTATATAATACTTTTTTGACACTGTAGAAATTCATTTTATACTTTTGTGTTCTCGATAATGTACACTTGTATGGAAATGTTTAATTATTTATGTTGAATAGAAATTACACATCGTTTTAATTACTGAATGAATATAAAGGTGCAAATATGTTCTAGAGTTTCCTGGTACTAACCTTTCTGTCCCTGTCAGTGTTGTAATCTGGTCAAGAGATTCGTTGTATGGCTGGTACAGGACAAACTGCTCAGGTTTACTAGTCAAGATTTCTTTAAACTGGTCTCTGACCTTAAGCTGCAATTGAAAATGCTAAGTTCCTTAGAGAGAATGAATTTCAGTATATCATCATCTTGGTGTTTGCTACATGTACAAAGCAAATTTAACCTGGGCTTTAATTTATATCGAAATTTTACCATCTATAAAAACTGAAAGACTGCATTTTATCTTTTGCAATTGTCCAGTATTTAGCTTGATACTTGCACAAATTTGTGCAAAGCTGACAACTTTGAAAATGAGTCGAACGTTCTCAACATTGTCTAAAGACATAGGACAAAGAGTGAACTTTAACATCAATTGGTAGTCTTCCATTATTATTCGATAACCGATATTTTCCTTTTATCATTGAAAATGTAATTTTATAATATCCGATGAAATTTTAAAAAAAAATATGGAGGTCGACAGAAAAGTAATGAGTGTGTCAGTCACAAAAAAAACATCGTGTTGTTTTTACAAGTTGAAAATTATTTTCAAAGCAAACACATAAATCAATGTAATTAAATAACAAAGGCAAATTATTCGGTATAAGTACAGTTACCATAAATAACAAATGTATTAAATGTATGTTGCATAGCTCAGCATCGACAATGTTTAGCAGATTACAACTTCACTCGGTCTTGTGACCAAAGTACCCTACATATAGCACCAATAATTAATAGGTTTCATTGTAAATCTTCTGTATCAATACTGTGCACGATACAAACCATTGACACTGCATGATGTGTACGGTTGTTAGCCACTGCCCTCATAAGTCTTTCTGTATGCTGACTTATCTGTAATCAATATCACACAATATATCATACATATACTTTGTATGTATGTTCGTATGTCAAACTATCTTTATACATAAGAATTTCAACTAATACCCAAATAGCAATATATAAAATAATTAATTTATGTTGTAAGAACCCAATATATTATTTGCCGGTGAAATGTGAGAAATGTTCAGTTTCACATAGAACATCACGGCATTGAGGTGATACATTAGTATTAGTAATGATACAACTTTCCAGTGAAGATATACAAATAAACATATAATTTACGTAAGTGTATCTGTTTATCTGTGTTATAAGTCAACAATGAATGAAAATATTCATTAGAATATGATAAAGTTTTGTTGTTCATGTCTGGATACCTCATGACTGAATTCACTTGTGTACAAATTCTCACTGATATTGAGGGCCGGATTGACTGTTATGTAACTAAATCTTAGTAGTAGGTGACTACAATTTCACCACATTAGCGAAGTGGGCCAAGCAGGGCGGCAGAAGAAAAAAATTGTCAATACGTCAAATGACAAAGGATAACATAATAGTAATCAACATCTTCATGAAAACGTCTTAAGAATAAGAAATGATACCTTTTGTGCAGTTTAAAAAATCCTATATTCTCTTGTCTATGGTTTTCCTTTTGTTCACTTTAATGCAACGAGACTGAAAACTACTTCTGTTGTTACCAATGTAAAGTAACACACATGAAAGATTATATAGATCTGGCTTTCAAATGTCACCATTGTCATTTCATTCTGCATCAAATAAATGTGTTTCTTTGGGAGTTTACGTCCACGCACAAGTTGTATAACTATGGTATCCACGCATGATTTGGCCAATGTTAGATTTTATGTTGATCTTTGTTTATCTTAATCAACAATGAAAATACCAACATGTCAACAGAATCCCAATTCAAACTCAAATTCAATAAAAACTTGCGCGAATATGAACATGATGACAGGTGTTTCGGAAGCGTTACCGTCTTCTGCTTATTAAAGATACCTGCAAAATTAAATCTTGGTCAACCCAAGTGAGTAGTGTCACTTTCCAAAATGAGAAATACGATAAACGATAACAGAACCAGCAGGTATGCTAAAGCGCATCAAACACGCCCAACTTCACATAGCATAAGCCAATGAAATACTTCTCCACGAGATCATGCCCACCTTTTTCATCAACCTACATCGCAAGAAACCGTGTGTGAGAGTTTGTCAGTTTACCGGCATCTTGAACGGAAATTATGATACCAAGAGCCAATCCTTGAACAGCTGGATAAGTTAACGCCACAGATAAAATAATCAGGTATATTACTCTCCAGAAAATGAATATTTAAGCACAGTAAAAAGTTGGTGGGTTTTTTTTTCAACGTATGAGAAGATCGAAATAACCAGCGGATGTATAAGAGTCTATCATGTCTTTGATTTACAATTCAGGTAGGTATATACGATGTATGTCAATATACATATATATATACCGTCGATATTACTTACTAGATTCTATATATAGAAGGTCCAGTACCAATATTGGACCATACCGTCGATATTACTTACTAGATTCTATATATAGAAGGTCCAGTACCAATATTGGACCATACCGTCGATATTACTTACTAGATTCTATATATAGAAGGTCCACTACCGATATTGGACCATACCGTCGATATTACTTACTAGATTCTATATATAGAAGGTCCAGTACCGATATTGTACCATACCGTCGATATTACTTACTAGATTCTATATATAGAAGGTCCAGTACCAATATTGGACCATACCGTCGATATTACTTACTAGATTCTATATATAGAAGGTCCAGTACCGATATTGGACCATACCGTCGATATTACTTACAAGATTCTATATATAGAAGGTCCAGTACCGATTTTGTACCATACCGTAGATATTACTTACTAGATTCTATATATAGAAGATTCTGTACCAATATTGGACCATACTGTCGATATTACTTACTAGTTCTATATATAGAAGATTCTGTACCAATATTGGACCATACCGTCGATATTACTTACTAGATTCTATATATAGAAGGTCCAGTACCAATATTTGACCATACCGTCGATGTTACTCACTGGATTCTATATATAGAAGATTCTGTACCAATATTGGACCATACCGTCGATATTACTTACTAGATTCTATATATAGAAGATTCTGTACCAATATTGGACCATACCGTCGATATTACTTACTAGATTCTATATATAGAAGGTCCAGTACCAATAGTTGACCATACCATCGATATTACTTACTAGATTCTATATATAGAAGGTCCAGTACCAATATTGGACCATACCGTCGATATTACTTACTAGATTCTATATATAGAAGGTCCAGTACCAATAGTTGACCATGCCGTCGATATTACTTACTAGATTCTATATATAGAAGGTCCAGTACCAATATTGGACCATGCCGTCGATATTACTTACTAGATTCTATATATATAAGGTCCAGTACCAATATTGGACCATACCGTCGATATTACTTACTAGATTCTATATATAGAAGGTCCAGTACCGATATTGGACCATACCGTCGATATTACTTACTAGATTCTATATATAGAAGGTCCAGTACCGATATTGGACCATACCGTCGATATCACTTACTAGATTCTATATATAGAAGGTCCAGTACCGATATTGTACCATACCGTCGATATTACTTACTAGATTCTATATATAGAAGGTCCAATACCGATATTGGACCATACCGTCGATATTACTTACTAGATTCTATATATAGAAGGTCCAGTACCGATATTGGACCATACCGTCGATATTACTTACTAGATTCTATATATAGAAGATTCTGTACCAATATTGGACCATACCGTCGATATTACTTACTAGATTCTATATATAGAAGGTCCAGTACCGATATTGGACCATACCGTCGATATTACTTACTAGATTCTATATATAGAAGGTCCTGTACCAATATTGGACCATACCGTCGATATTACTTACTAGATTCTATATATAGAAGGTCCAGTACCGATTTGTACCATACCGTCGATATTACTTATTGTATTATGTATACATATATATATCGTTACCTGACAGTGATATTGAAGGTCCTGACAAGGTCTTTATGACTGGTTTTGATGAGCTCGTAGAAAATTTCGTTAATGCAGTAGATTGAAAAAGCAATTATTTTAAATGAAATTTTATCACTACAGAACAAGTAAATGATGCTTAACAGAGTGTACATTACCATTCCCGGGAAGGCTTTGAGTCTTTCATAGTAGTCAGCAAAATCTCCTTTGGTGGAAAAAGGCGTATGCTTCACAAGCATGGCTGGAAGACCAACAGGCCCGTCAAGGAAGCTGATTGAGTTCAATGGCCCATATCTGAAAATTGGCAAAGATTGGGAGGTTCTGGTGCAAACTCAAACAATCATGGACGTTCACACGTTCATATAGGTAGTCATCATTTAAAATTACCAACCATTTCAGTCTTGGAAGGATTTTGTATCGGTTATTTTGATATATTTCCGATGTGCCCTTTTCCAATTGCTTAAGATTTTACGAGATCATAAAATGTTCCTTATAATCCATGTGCGTTTTACAACTTATCAGTCTGAAGTAGATAGATTTCATTCTTACTAAAACCGTTGCTACCATTGCTAAGATTTTATCTTTGAAACAATCAGACACATTGATAGTTTTTTAACCAATGACTATTTTATTATACAAGTTTTGAAATGCGGCAAAATTTTTTCAAGGTTTTTGACGCAGTTCTGAACAGTTTAAACTTAACAAATAGAATTATCAAGATTGTACATGAAATAAGGCAAGTTGTGCCAGGTCGGCTAAACACGTACTGACGCCAGCGGTATCCTTCTAGGAATGTGTGAAGTGTATGTTTCAGAATGTCGTAATCAATCTGTGTTTCGTTTGGCATTCGTTCATATGCCAGTCGACGTAATTGACTGTTAAATTCATCTGCTTTTGCCTGTGGACAAAATAGAACAAAGATATCAGTCACTGATTTCGCAAAAAAAAGCAAAAAAAAACAGGGATATCCGTCTTCGACTTAAGGCAAAATAAAGATATTAATTAGTAATTGTAAACAATAGATATTAATTAGTAATCGTAATCAATAGATATTAATTAGTAATCGTAAACAATAGATATTAATTAGTAATCGTAAACAATAGATATTAATTAGTAATCGTAAACAATAGATATTAATTAGTAATCGTAAACAATAGATATTAATTAGTAATCGTAAACAATAGATATTAATTAGTAATCGTAAACAATAGATATTAATTAGTAATCGTAAACAATAGAAAACAAGGCTTCAGTTATTGATTTGGTAACGAATAAACAAAGATATCAGCCACTGATTTCGCAAAGAAATGTGAAACAGAAGAGTTTACGATGTCGGTACATTACTGCGAAATACGCTTCATTTAGACAAATAGTTCTAAAGGAATCGATATCATTGACAAGCTACACGTTATTCACGACAATTGTAAGACTTTTTGAAAGGTTAATATTATAGAATAAATGTTGCCTTATCAATTTATTTGTCCAATACGAATTTTTATATTTGGCTCCTTGTTTGTAATCACTGTTAGAAATAACGCTAAATGTTGATTAGAAGTGAAGGTGTCGTAGTCCTCAATACTATATTCATTTTGTAGGAATTAGTACAGTCACGTAGTGATTTTTATCCGGAACGAAAAGATGAAAAGCGAGCAACAGACAATGATTTTTTATGTGAAGATAATGTTGATTATGATAAATACGTAACATAAGCGTAAAAACTTGTAATTGGGACAATCAGGCTGTCATCTTTTCTTAAATGAACTTGGTAAAGGGTTGATGCAACGCTACAATAGACACTTAATATGTCATTCTCGTGTGATTATGCTAAGTTTGAAAGTTTGAATCCTTAATATTGACCTTCATACTGTCAAAATTCGCCAGGTCAAGTAATTCCAGTTTGTCATTGAAGTCATACACCTCCTTTGTTGTGGCGTACTCTGGATGTAAAGATAATTTCCACTTCCCAAAATCATTTTGTATATTTTTGAATTCTTTAACCACGTGGTTATCTGAAAAACAAGCAAAGAAAAAACATATAATTGGAATGAACAAAATATTGCTGAATTCGAACCTTCTGGTGACTCACATTTTGCGCTAATGACTAAATCTCGTTGTCTACGGGATCATACACTCAACGAGAGTCATGAATGAATTACCGATCAAAACAGGTTTCATACCGAAATTGCCAAATATTTGTGTATTTTCAAACTGTTCCATGAAACGTTATAATCCATTAAATTACAACCAAGAGAGACAGTTCTCTTCGTAATTCCTACTAGTGAATGATATTTCAAATAATTCACAAATGTATACGCTAGAAAACTATCACATCTAAGAAACAGAAATTATTCTATCAATAAATGTACAAAGGATTACCCCCCTCCCCCCTCCCCCCCCCCCCCCCCCATCATGTCCCCCTCCACCTTCCCCTCCCACCGCCACACACAAAAAACTTACCTTCAAAAGCTGCTACTACGACTACAACTGTCAGGAAATGGAATGAGAACGAGGCTGTTAGCAAGGCCATGGCTGCCTGCAAATAAAAAATACATAACAAAGCTATAGTTTTACGAGTAACCATTAAGCTTAAGGAAGTTCCTTCAACTGAATATCTTTCCTTCTGGGAGTCTTTTCGAATGGAGAAAAAATGAATTGATTAAGACTGTTTCACTTAAATATAAGATATATTTCTTTTTGGAAATAAATTTTTGATTGCTTATTTGGATCGAAAGCTATATGAAGGTGGTGTCCGTGGAAGATGTGGTCACTTCAAATAGACGTGTTTAAATGTAATAACTTAAAGCCCCAATATACGTAAAAATCACTATAAAAAACAAACTTTATCTTATTTTCCCCGTAATATATGTAACAAAACAAATACTTTCCTTTAATTAAAGAAAATAAAACTGACTGTTTTCAATTGAAATAAAAATTGAAAAAATCGGAAAATAAACAATGTGGGACCCACAATAATTCATACATTACCGCTCATAGCGATGACATTGCGCGTGCGCATATTCCGCGTGTGTAAACATGGCAGACACAGTACAGACGTCCACCAGTCGCTTCCTTTTTTTCCAATCATACATCAGGCCAGTTCTGAATTTTTACGTTATAATTGTGCGTCGTACCGTTTCTAAACTAATTATTCCTTCTAATAATTTCCCAAGAACTGAATGTTTATCACAAGAATACCTTAAGTCTACGACAAGACTTCGCAAACAATGTTTGTAAACAAAATCTTACCGTAGGCATATCAGCATGTGCTTCCTCTATAAGTAGAAACCTCAACTCTCGCGAGATCAGGTCATGAACTTTCCGACGTGGTTCGGCAACAATCGTAATTTCGATGGCGGCGTGTTTAAAATGGGGGTGTGTTTACAAACAGCGAGTTCCAACTGCTCATATATCAATACTTCATGCACAAAGTCATGATAACTATTGTTTGAATAACTTAATTCTAACTACATCTTAGAGAATATCTCAATAATTATGTGTGATTTTACACTAAATTTTTGGTGAATGTTACGTATATTGGGGCTTTAAGGACCGTGCGGAAGTTCTTATCGGTCCTGGCAGGGCTTCTAGTAGAGAACAGTGTACCTCCATTTTATATGAACTTTATACAAAATCAGGTGGAGGATTCTTACGATAAAGAGCGACAATAAAACTGAGACTAAAGTTTTCATCTTTATCTTTTGGGTTCTAAAACTGATTTATCATCCGTCACACTGCAAATTACCTGTGGCAAAAGTCGCCACGTAATCAACTCAAAGTTAAAATATCGGGAACAGAGAAACTTTATGGAAATGGTAATATTCTTGTTTTTATCATTACATTTTAATTAGTAGTAGTTATTCACAGACAACGCGTTTAAACGTCATATTCTTTTGTGTACATATGTACAGGTATTGTTGAAATCATAAATATTTATAAATAAAAAAAATCAAAAGACGTATAAGATACCTATACGACGGGTTTTACTGTAAATAAAAATTCAAAAAGAGAGAGAAGTCATGTGTTTTTTATATAATGTTATGAATCATACATACTTTTGTTTGTGTGTGTATGTTCCAGTTTAATTTGTCGGATTGTACTGTGCAGACCAGAAAACTAAATCGTAATTCAAATCATGCGTGTCACGATGAAAGCAATGATCAGGAAAAAATTGTAAAACGTCCAACAACGTTTTATAAAACCAGCTAGGTCTTTCCGTAGCAGCATATGTACATTATCAAAAGGGGAGTAAAAGGTCTGTACTAATGCTTTGTGGATTTCGTTGAAATTGGATCCTTAAGGCTTCAAGGTCATACAGTGTGGCCACCTGGCTACTGATTACACCGCCAGGTCGCGCTGTTCATAACCCAGTACAATCTGACACATGTAGCAAAACAAAGATCGGTGACCTTTCCACTGTTTAAGACTGATAATCTGTTCCGGTGTGATACAGAGACGAATATATGTAACGTAACACTATCGGAAATTTCTTTCTTTTTCCCTTGTGGAAGCCCTTTGCATTTCACAACGTTTTATTACATATGCATGTACAAACCTTTTAAATAGATATATAAAATAAATAGTTGATTTACATTTTTTACAAATTCTAGAAAGCTTTGTTCTTGATACAGTATCTGTAAATTATTGTTTTTACATTTACATTAAAAAAGTGACATGCATTTTTTATTATATAAGTTAATCAACTATCGTTCTTGGAAACTAATTTGCATGCGTACTATCTGTACCACTATATACAATTTTAGAACTGGCATTTTAATCAAAACGTTTAAGAACTGTCTAAAAAAAATCCCTGATACCTCGATTTAAATAACGTATATAAATATCTAAAGACAAAATTTAATTTCATTTCTGTATCAATATTCTTGTATTTTAAAACAAAATCCTATCGTGATCAGCCTTTATCAAACGTATACAGGAGACGGTATGATCTCGCTAAAGATATATGAAAATGAACACGAGATATATTTGTCGAATAAAATTTTGATTAATAAAATGTTAAATAAATGAAACCTACCTTGTTTATATACCGGAATGCAACAAGCTGTGCAGGAGCTACAGACACCAGACGACTGAACAGAAGCTTTCTGTCGAACCTGACCCTCTGTTGGTCACGTGACGGAGAGGAGGTGAAGATGAAAGATTCAGACTCCCCGATAATAACCGGAAGTGAATCGAAGGTTTGACAAAAACACAAAACGTGTAGGAATCTTAATGATAGCTGTGTGTGAGATATTTGGTATCTTGTTACAATGATTTCACACCGACACTTGAAAGTTCCGCATCTTTCTTATTAAACATGTTTTTTTTTCTTGTTTTATTCTATTTCGTAATGTACGCATCACAATTCTTTGCCCATCAATTGTGTGCGGTTTGGGAGCTATTTGGAGGATCGTCGCATGCTCTGCAGTTAGGTTCAATAACCTCGTATTTCGACACAGCCATATCCGCAAAAAGTATCTATCAGATGGTATGGAAGCCCAGAGAAACAAAGATAATCACTGTAACACACAAACTGACAACCATAAGGGATTGAGACATTCCACAGAAAACATATGTAAATCCCCTCACTGTAGTGCCGGTATTATATATTCTTTCCGGATTCCTGTAAAACTATACGGTGATATAAGAGATAGTGTGATAGGAGATGTGGACTAGGTCTTGATTGTATGACTTCGATATTCGTGTAAAAAAACAAACAATATGTTGGTCTCATTCTATAGCAACGTGGTGATGCTAAACGGCGCGGTAATCAGGGTAGACCCACGTGACATATTTTATAAATGTTATTTTTATTTATCGGGGTAAATTAGGACAGAAAAATATTTATGAATAGACAAATATTTACTGAAAGGATAAGGAAATTCAACTTCTTAAATTGTATAATTTTTTTGTTGAATATACATAGCTGTATAAAAAGTTAAAGGAATAATAGGGTACCTTACCCAATCCCCTGATAAATGTTAAAATTCCGTGACAAAAAAAAAACTGATCCACATTCGGTGCGCCTAAATTACCAATACCCCGTGACAAATGCAAACATTCTTTTCCATTCAAACTAGAATCGATTTCTATAATACACTTCGCCAATACATTTGCAATCAATTATTGTTTTTACAAATATGCCACGGCTAGCCCAAATTGATAGAGGACGGGTTCTCGCAATGCTCATGGGAGGTAGTACACAACAGCAGGTCGCTAGTTACTGCGGAGTTCATGGATTGAATCGAAATCGGAAACATTGATAACGGACCGAGATTCGGACGTCCATGCATAACGATGTCATGACCTCTTCATTAGGCTTATCAAATTTCAGGACAGGAGATTAACGGCAGCCGAAATGGCACGAAATATCATTGGCAAAGGAAACCGTCGAGCCATCCAAAAACTGAGAGGGAAATTTACGCCCCCGTCGCAAGGACGTTGGTTTGTCACCGACACCTCAACGTCGAGCACGTCGTATGCGATGGTTGACGGCACATGTGCCCGGACGTTTCCGTTTGAGACGTTGGAGATAAGTACTCGATTCCCGATTCATCTTATTTCGATCAGATGGTCATCAACGTGTGTATCAGTGTCGAGGAGAGCGTCTGCAGACGATTGTGTTTGGAGGACGACCTTTTTCAAGGTGGGTCGATTATAATTTGTGTAGGAATTGTCCCAGTTGATTGGTCTTCATAAAGCCCAGATTTGTCCCCAACACTTGTTGAGTGAATTAGACACAAGAGTTCGGAATCGAGCAAACATCCCCAATAACCACCGCCAGTTGGCCAACGCACTCAGGAATGGAATGCTATTCCTGAACTCCATGCCACTCAAAGTAGTAGTAAGAGACGCTATCGCTGTCCTGGGAAGGCACACGTGATATTAGGGACCGGTCTTACAACTGCCGTTATTTCCACTTTGTGTAAATCAGGGTATCCTAATTCACGGCGGCCTAATGAATTCTTCGTTTGATAAAAATTCTTAAAATTTGAAGACGGATGGCCCAATATTCGAAGTTAAGTATCGCCTTTCACATTTAGATATATTGCTCATAAATTTTATTTTATTTAAATGTATAGTTGAAGTTGCGTTTCTTTCTGTCCCAAAATGCAGTTTATATATTCAGATAGTGATCATGTATTCAAATTATCCGGCAACACTGATTGAAAATGAGACCATCAAAATTTCATCATGTTATTGTTCAATCTTTGTTTACCTGATGTCGACGTTACGCTGAATTTTTGCCGGATGACGCACGCCAAAAGAATTGCTCCGCGCAGAAATATAGTTCCACACTTCAACGGATATGTCAAAGATTTAATTAATTTTAGTAAATAAACTCTACGTTACATCTTACAAAGTGGCTTATTTCAACAATAATCTGTATTGTTAATTGTAATATTTAAGTGAATTTAGAGAGTAATTCTGTCGAATTACCGCATGTGCTAAATTACCGCTGTTTTCCGCAAAAATACATGTGGCAGGTGTATTCCGACAATGGCCGTGCCAGTTGCAGGATAAATCTGTATATCAGGATACTACACTTCAGTATATATACTATACTTATTAGATATACTTTATCTCTGTTATAGATTAAACACGAGACCTCAATCGCCTAAGCTTTAAGTTAACAAGTGGCTAATATTCGCCGTAGGATAGAGACTTTTTAAAATAAACAATATTTAGAGAGTTTGTATCAAGCCTTAGCTATTTAAGTTGAGACAGGTGAGATTAATATTTACGAGGTATCGAGTTTATCTATTAAGTTCTTTCCACTTTTTACTTCTAACGACAGCAAGAAAAAAAAATATGTTTACATATAAATTTTAGTAAATTGAAGGAGTGAAAATTGTATCTAAGGCGGCCCCAGACCACCTGCCTTAATTATGTATGTCAGACCCCAATGTCAAATTGCTTCCGCCAGGCCTGAGGGTATATGTTTCATTGTCAGAAGGTATTTGAAATTTCATTTATTATGTGTCTATTTTGTGTCATTTAGAGGTATAGGTTTCCATGTTACAGTTGGTGGATATCCCACTGAACAAGATACGGAAGGTTAATGATATCCCATCCACTGCAGTTAAGGTTTTCCCAAGATTTATCACCATGGCAACACAGACCGGTCTGTTGTTCTGTAAGCAGAGAAACGGAAACTGCCAAGGGGTAGTGAGCCTCGTACCAAGCGCCTGAGACGGACTGACATGGGCGTACATTAAATGCTGCCTTCCTATGACCGTAGTCTCCCTAATCAATAG